ATGTTCAGCCTCCACTGAATACAGGGCGATATAAAGCAAGTTATATAATGGTAGAAATGAATAGTCAATGCAATGCGATAGCAAGGCCATATAAAAAACAACGATATAAAGCTCAATGCAAGGAGTGGTAAAGCTCAATGCAAGGTGATAGCAAAGCTCAATACAAGCGATAGTTATAAATGCAGGACGATATAAAGCTAGCGTCAACTGAATACAAGTCGATATAACACTGAGTTCAAGTCGATATGAAGCTGCGTACAAGGTTAAATACACGTCGATATAAAGCTGAATTCAAGTCGATATAAAGCTGAATTCAAGTCGATATAACGCTGAATGTAAATCGGTATAAAGCCGAATTCAAGTCGATATAACGCTGCATTCAAATCGATATAACGCTGAATTCAAGTCGATATAACGCTGAAAACAGGTTGATATAAAGCTAAGTTTTAAGACAATATAAAACTGGATTTAAGTCGATATAAAGTTGAATTCAAATCGATATAACTCTGAAAACAAGTCGATATAAAGCCGTTTACAGGGCGATAAAAAGCTGTATACAGGTCGATATAAAGCCGAATACAGGTCGATGTAGAGCAGAATACAGGTCGATGTAGAGCCGAATTCAGGTTGATATAGAGCCGGATACAGGTCGATATAGAGCTCACTACATGTCGATATAACGAAGAATATATGGACGATATCGAGCTAGTTACATGAAGCTAAATACAATGTGTTATAAAGCCAATTAAGGAACGATGTAAATCTGTATATAGGGTGATATACAGCTAAATACATGGCGATATAAAGCTAAATACATGGCGATATAAAGCTGAATACTGTGATAGACCAAATGGGTGAACAAATTCGTGTGAAAGGTTTTTTTTATAAACTAACCACGGAGGTATCGCTGATCGTTTAAATGTAAGATGGTTAATTGACCGGTTAGAGACCATTTCGTCTGACAAGAGTTGGCCAACATTTGTCCATTTTATTTGATACGGGACTGATTGAACGAACGTGTTGAATTGTAAGAATCGCGTCTGATGGGCCTATCGATTGACGTGTGTTCCTGAAAGACCAAAGCGCGGGTTAGAAGAATAAAAGAATAGAATTGCTTAATATGTCACCATTAAAGATAAATCGATAGGAATTTGTGTGATTTATGAAAGTGAATTCTCGAGAGGTTAACGACATTCTAGCAACCATTTCTTGTCCTTTGCACGTCTCTTGGAGAATAAAAGGCTTATTTTTTCAGTCATAATCTAATCAAACAACTGCTATGGTTGAGATTTTTTCATGGTAGTCAAGAATTTCTGTGTGCTTTTATGAAAAGGCATATAGAACGCGACCTTAAAAAAACTTCAAATGCTTGAAATAATTTTTGCATTATATCACAATTTTACGCGCGAAAAAAGATGCGATCTGCGTCGTCAACGAGATCGATGTTTATTGCATCCCGTTGTCATGGAAACAATATCTATGGGCTAAGATTGTTTTCAATCTGTGAAAGGTTAACTAGACAGACGTGTGTTAAGTATTTCAATATCGGTTTACTAACAGTTATTGATCTACATTGTTTGTCTGCTTTCAATTCAAGAGCTTTTATCTCGGCTCTATCCAATCAATGGAATACATGACTTTCTATCCTTCCAACTTCAATCCACATTCTAGGCTACTAATAGTCGTGCGACTAGGTAAATACTTCTGGTCGTGTAGTGTGGACATGGTAAACAATAATTACACCAATTCTATCTAAATATTGACACATCTCCTTCAATAAATCTTTACTATTACCAAATCACATTCAAGTCTCCACAAATCGCAAATATTAATATTTACCATGTCGCGTGGTATCACATTTTATTGACAATATGAAGGCCATCTTTCAAAATCGACAAACAAAAATTAATGACAAAAGGCTTTGTAAGTAAAGAAAATATGAAAAAAACTCAGTCATAATTTAGAATCTTTTGTCTCAAGGAGAATTGTTGCGGTTTCCGTCTGGATTCAAAATTTACTGTAGGAGTACTGCTTCTTTTAGAGTGTTCTGGATATACAAGACTGAAGCGTAATGGAAGCAAATGGTGAAAATACCACACTTTTGAAACAACGACCAATTCTTCTGTATTTCTTTTTCTTAATTATTTTAAATCTAGCCAGATCCCCTTGGGCTCACTTGGATTGCCATTACGACCATGATAGAGGTCCTATGAAAAATTCCCGATGACCTTGAACAAATCACCTTCCTGCTTTATTTCAGAAAATTCAGTTGTAGGTCTATATTTCATGGATAATACATCACAACCTCGACTTTAAACTCCATCCAAGAGTGTTTACCGGTTTCGTAGGTGACATTCAAGGCTCGTCCGTCCATCTCAACAAAGTCAAGGCTAACCGGAAGTATGTACACACGCGAAAAATTATAAGATTTTCATACATTTTGGTTTTTATAACTAAGCGCTAACTTAATGTTACTATCAATGTTCAAAATCTGATAACAAAGTCAGACAGGTAAGTTTTTGTGGCCAATATCGATGCCGTATCAGGTCCGCATATAATACAAATAATAATAAAACAGTTAAAATAATATAATGAATGATGTGCAGGTTTATTCACACCATATAGCTGCTGTCGCTGGTCTGACACAAGTCGAACCACCAAATAAAAAAAGTATTAACATTAAGAATTTGAATCATTGGAATAAGGTATACTTCCTACGTGGAGGAAGATAAATGAATACACAGTAGAGAATGGGGGTTTCTATTAAAACTTGTAGTAATTAGAGAATTGTCATATTGATTTTATACAGACAATAGGTTTAATAATTACAATAAGAACTATCCACCTTCAACGAATATGTTATCGGCAGCATTATTAGCTGGCCAATATTACACGAACGTCTCGCTAAGTGGTGTGGAAAATTTCCAGTCATTATGACACTTTAATTCTCATGGGGGATAACTCTTGTGACACGTGCCCTGAACACGAGCTGCGCGTGTTTTTCACCAAACGAGAACGTGCTTTGAACCGACACGTGCAAGCAAGCATAAAGTCATAGCATGATAAACATGACAGATAATTATCGGTTTTATTCCATGTTCAGATTATTTCACTTTATTGTTTTTCAGTCATTAGATTGAATGGACACCCCAGTACGAGTTGGCAGGCATGAAATTAGGTGTTGAAAACAATTAACTAAAAACCCGACTAAAAATCTCATTCCAGATTAATCAAGTCCAAATGCCTTATTTCATCAATAATGGTGAAATATGAACGGGTATCAAATCAATTGAAACATATGTCTGAAGGCTTTATTAACCAACGGCCTCATATTAATTTACCAGGTCATACGTTTCATATTTAATGACTATTTTCATTACTTATATCAGGCTATTTCAGAATCGCTTTTAATTCTTGTGGTTTCAGTTTTCAATTTTAATAAAACTTTTTAATTAATATTTCCACTCAATATTATCATGTATACCTGTAAATGTCACTCAAATAGGAACATAGGGCCTAATTACAAAGGAGAACAGAAACATATCCTGGGACCCAGCTGCAATCGGTAGGCTACGGATAATCCGAGAAAGATCAATGCCGAAAGGTTTTGCCAAGGACCACCTGGTAGAAAAGATCCTTGAGTTGTTATCCTTGTAAAATATAGTTGTTTCTTTCTTTCTTTGGAATGTCTAAATTGACAAAAGCTCTGGCATGTTCTTTAGATACAAAATCAAATCATCAGGGCAGCTCTTTTAGGTGGCTCAGTGAGTTAGACGCTTGCCCGCTAACCTGAAGGTCCAGGGTTCAATCCCGGCAAAGGTCGAGATAACACCTTCGGATTTTTCAACCCGTTTTCCACCTGTCAGTGATGCAGGTAAGAGGGGCTGACATGGAAAAAGCGTCTAGTCGTTCGGATGGGACAATAAACCGAGGCCCCGTGTGCTACAGGCTGTGCACGTTAAAGATCCCTCGACAGTTGGAAATCGAAAAAGAGCAGGCTAATGCCGCTGTCCTGGCAAAATTTCCCTCATCGCACCCTGCATGGCGTTGCATTAATCTACATGGTGCAGAAAAGTAGGACGTAAAACTCCATTCATTTCATTTCATTTCTTTTAGGGAATTTATGTTAACTTTCGAATAAAGACTTCCGGAATTTGAGCAAAGGGTTGGAGTATAATGTCGTATTCTCCTCAATTATGGATGTAAGGCTGATTATAGAGAGGAGGCATAAGCAGAGTCTTAACGCAACCTTTCTTCCTATGAAGTAATCATATGGTATTTGCATCCATTTAGGCAATACTTTTTCTTTTTACGAACTTGACAATACAGGTGTTAATGTATGCCAATAATTCTCCATAAGCCACTGTCTTTTTATATAAACTATTTTATAAACTTGTATGTCTTTCTACTACATTTAGATGTTCTTTCAAGCCTGCAAAAAGTTACAACTATATCGTGCGAGAATAAGTCACCATGATATGACATTGTGCACAGGTGTTCTATTATTATACCTATCTAATTATATCATTATCCTCACTTCAGGTAACCTATTTCATCTTTTTCTTTATTTAATCATCTAATTACGTTATATGTACAGACCCTATAAGAACCGCTAATAACATAACCACCATGTCTCCTTCAAATTTAGCTAATTAATATATGATAATGGTCAAACTGCGTCCTTGTTATCTTCAGTCATGTTTGACCATCGGCTACTCGAATTAGTCTTCCTTCGCTGGCGTTTGTTAATTGCTTCTTGCATCTATTTCGAACACTATTATTGCCCAGCTGCTGAATTCAATGAATTACATATTGATACATTTGTATCGTATAGATTACTATAAAATTGTTTTGAACATTATTGGCACAGCACTCAGTGCATGCACTGCGAAACAATTTTTGGGATACATTGGGTCACTTGCTCACTAACCTGAAGATCCAGGGTTCAATCCTGGCATAGATCGAGATAATACCTTCGGATTTTTCAACCCGGTTCCCCCATGTCAGTGATGCAGGTAAGAGAGGCTAACATGGAAAAAGCGTCTGGTCGTTTGGATTGGACAATAAACCGAGGGTTAATTTGGACGGTTGCAAATCAAAAAAGAGCAAGCCAATGCCGCTGTCCTGGCAAAATTTCCCTCATTGCACCCTGCATGGTGTAGAAAAGTTGGACGTAAAACTCCATTCATTTCATTTCTATGGCCTTAATAACAAAGACCCATCAAATGTTATACATGCACATTGTCATTTGGCTACATATAATATTTAATTTAATTTTCCAAAGAATACAAAAACATTATTAAATGAAATGGATTGAAATAAAACAGGGGATGTAATAAAATAATCAGACTAGGTTTCAGCATATCCTGTCCAATGATAAATATGGGATTAAACTTGCATTTATTGGATTTTGAGCCATTTTTCTGTTTTTCTTTGTTTGAAATTCACAATTCCTGGAAACACGAATGGAATAGATAATATTGATAATAGACCAAGGTATATGAGAAGACAATGTGACTGATTAATCTCCATATGTTCAGGTTGATAACCCACAATATCGGAAACTAGTAGGATTTAAAATGATTTATTTTCATTGTATGTCCAGTATTATTCTATATTATTGACATATAATAGTCGAAAGGTTCATTTTGCCAACACAGCCGATAAGTTTTGATGTGTTCCTTGTTTGGTCAGAGTTAATGAGTGAAGTATTGGACCAAAATATCTGCCATTTCTTATCAACTTAACTCTTATATATGCAGCACGTATTTGTGTGAAATATAAAAGAGCGTCTCACCAACCAGTATAAACGCAATCTAATGATGATACAAATAGACAAATTATATGAATTAGACTAAATGTTCGGCAAACCTCTCCAACCAGAATTAGTAGAATGGTTAAACAGTTCGACAATGAAATGGTCAATGTATTGGTGGTGGTTAATTTGGTCTTGCAATCGATGAGAAGTGATTAATATTGATGGTGAATATTAAAGGAATAATCACTAGAATCTCCTGAGAGGCTTCTTAATGTGTTATATTGCTCTTCAACAGACAAACACATATCGATTAATAGACTTGAAGAAACAACAAAGAAGCTGTCTTTTACTGTAAGACAAGTATTAGGTTTATTCCACGCAAACTAATCATTAATTCTCACTGAACCTTTTTTTAAAAAAAAGAATTATAAGGAGAGTGGGGGAATTGTGATTGAAGAGAACAGAAATATTAAAGAATCAATAAAAGACTAATGGATCATTTTTTTCTCTAATCCAATATGGCGTGTTGTGTCAAAAGTTATTTAATTGTACCGTTTGTTCAACTTAACCCATTGATTGCTGCTTTAAATTGTAAAATTAGACCTTTAAGGAAGACAGTTCAGTTTCAAGAAAATAAAACAGCCAGAAGTGTCGTGTCAATCTCATTATAATTCATGAATCTGAACACAAACGTCTGCCGTCAAATACTGAAATAATCTTCGTGTTCATCCTTAATTATGAAAAATTTCTTTAGAATCCACCAGACTCTGTACTTCTTTTGAAGAATTGTGCCAGCCTCATCTAGTTTTTATACAACCCATGGGACTTCTCGAAAGATAAACGAAATATACCAAAACTACCTTGTAACAATCAGGATTTGTTCCTGGCAAAACCTTCTATTACAACCTGATGGTTATCTTCGACATAAATAACAAAAGCAATTCTTCAAAATATCTAAGAGAAAGGGGTTTCACATCACATCAATGCCATCTTAGACAATAAGACATTTCGCATCAGTAACCATAAACAGCATGTCTAAACTATCCAGATCATCTACCATTTAAAAACCAATCCTGTTCATTTACCATCAACATCAACTCAAAACAATCCAGATCATCTACCATCATCAGCAACTTAAATCAATGTAGGTCTCAATCATCAACAGCAACTATTAGCAATGCAGATCATCGACCAACAACAGCAACTCTTAACTTGATTGATCATCTAACATCAGCAGCAACGCAAAACAATCAAGATAATCTACCAATAACATCATCTCTAAACAATCTATATAATTTACTACCAACAGCAACTCAAAACAACCAAGGTCACCAACCATCAGCAACTCGAAACAATCCAGATCATCTTCCATCAACAGCAACTCCAAACAACCTAGGTCATCAACTATCAACAGCACAAAATACAAACCGACCACCGACCTACCATCAGTTCATATCATCTACTACAAACAGCAACTCAAAACAACCAAGGTCACCAACCATCATCAGCAACTCAAAACAATCAAAATCATATACCATCAACAGCAACTATCAGCAATCCAGATCATCGACCAACAACAGCAACTCATAACAATCCATATCATCTACTACAAACAGCAACTCGAAACAACCAAGATCATCTACCATCAATAGCAACTATCAGCAATCAAGATCATATACCATCAACAGCAACTATCAGCAATCCAGATCATCGACCAACAACAGCAACTCATAACAGTCCGGATCATCTACTACAAACAGCAACGCAAAACAACCAAGGTCACCAACCATCATCAGCAACTTAAAACAATCAAAATTATATACCATCAATAGCAACTATCAGCAATCCAGATCATCAACCAACAACAGCAACTCATAACAATCCGGATCATCTACTACAAACAGCAACTCAAAACAACCAAGGTCGCCAACCATCATCGCAACTCCAAACAATCAAGATCATCTAACATCAACAGCAACTCCAAACAATCAAGATCATCTAACATCAACAGCAACTCCAAACAATCAAGATCATCTAACATCAACAGCAACTCCAAACAATCAAGATCATCTAACATCAACAGCAACTCCAAACAATCAAGATCATCTAACGTCAACAGCAACTCCAAACAATCCGAATCATCTACCATCAACACTAAACAATCTATATCATCTATTATCAACAGCAACTCAAAACAACCAAGTTCACCAACCATCATCAGCAACTCGAAACAATCCAGATGATCTACCATCAACAGCAACTCCAACAGCACTAAATACAAGCCTACCACCGACGACATTCCTTAACAATCAATACCATCCATTCAGCAATAAGTCTGAAAACACCATCCGCCCTTAATTATAGACTGGAATTCAATCACAATTTGGCGAAAAGTGATACTAAACTACAAAAACTGTGAATTTTAAACATAGTGCTGAAACCTATGCTATGGCATGCTACTGCCTATTTAATCAACTTTAACAAAGATCCAATAATCCCTCGTATTTTAACGCACGAAAGGAATAAGAGAATGTTAAGCGATCTACAGAAAACCCACGCCTATAATAAGAAAAATTTTAAGCATATTTACATTGATGTATTTTTTTGTGAAACAACTATAAAATTGTGGAGTTTCTTGCAGTTGTTTGACCTTGTGTTATTGTCCATGAGATTATTTCTCCTCACTTGAACAGCGGACAACATTTTATACCGTCTCGTTCATCCAATGTTGATTTAATCGTTCCAATAGTTTCGTTCAATATTGACTTTTTACACCAATGTCTATTGACATTAGTTCATCATTGTATTCAAATCCGCGAGTTGTATTGGTCGTAGATTATAGCCACAATACAAATTTCCTTCTATCTTATATTGACGTTTATCTTCACCCGAGTCAACATTAGTTTTTAATGAATACCTTAGTTATTATTACCATATTAAAACATTGTTTATACAGCTTTCCTTCCTTCTTTATTGAATTTCACCCAGATCGATACGGTTTCCCTCCAATAATTATGCTGTTTTCATCAATTTCGCATTATGATTAATCGTTTACTCGAGTGCTAAGAAAACGTTTTATGTTTCTTTAAGTGACCTATGAAACAGCACACAAGTATGTAACAATAAGGTTAAATGTTTAAATACAACTACTTATAACATTAATGACATGTTTCAAAGAAAAGAGTTTCGAGAAATTTCCTAACAGAACTTAGCCAAGTTCCTGCTTCATAATTTCTCAAGATCTCATGTAATCGCCTTAAGTCTAATACAGTTTCTTTTCATGCAAAAATTCCTTGATGTACTCGAGAGTAAAAATAGTCAGATCTTAAAGAGATGGAAAGCACCGACCTAGAAATTGTTTCAATAGCCCATCTACGACGTCACTTTGATAATTCCGACGAGCGCTTGAGGCCTTAACATTACCAGAGAGACCATGTGGGTTCTCCTTATCTTTTCAACGACCACTCCAACATCCCAAAATCATTCTCCAAGCCATACAAATACAGCTCTTTAGTTAAGAAGGGGCGAAGTGAAGACGATAATGATGGAAACGGAGTGGTCACATGACTTGAACAACTCTCAACATTTCTCGGTAAGTGCTCTTGAAGTAGCGAGAAGATTAGCATCTCTTTTTCAATCAAATTCTGTCAGAAATTCGATGTCCTACTTTTATGCATCTATTTATAAAAGAGATTTGGGGTGCTTGAACCGATCAGAATTCGGAGGTCTTTCATCATTAGTAGCGTCAATCGGGTCATACTTTAGACGCCCTGGGATCTCTAGGGTAGACATGGAGAGGCCAGTGTATGGAGTTGTAATGTTCTTAACGTCAACACGACTGATTGCGTCTGCTTTAGACATTATAACAATATTGACAATGGCGATAATGAGACGAATATGGATGCTAATGCTTCTTATCGGAGCAGATCCGGTAACGAGCTATAAGCTCTTTAACCGACCTTAATTCTGACAATGAAGACGAATAGACAAGACGTTACCGGGGTTAGAAATATCATCTTATTGGAAATATCGGTAAACCATTACTCAATTAAATCGTTTCAGGTCTAATGTGATTTCCTCCGAGAGACTTTCCACGGGAATTCCAAATGACCTACTCAATATCCAAATATAAAATAAGATCATCTTTAACCGCTTATTTGTAAGTCATTAGCCTTTGTGCACTTCATACCTTTCCATAAAAAATGAAAAGAACTGAAAATAGACTCGCTTAATATGATGCTATGCGATTTTCTCAAAAATGTAAAAACAGATCGCTACCAAGATTTAGGAACTTGCTTCTATGATCGAAATTGTTTATACTCCTCCAGACGTCCAATGTATCTTGAACAATTTTGTACGGTACCATTTCGTGTTCACTTCACACGTTTTTTTTAAAACAGATATTGCGATATATTTGTAATGTAGAACGTTTGGGGACATGCAAAGATTTATTATTGGTTCATCTATCAATTTCAAAGCCAAATAAAGTTAACTTGCCTTTTAATGGTTTGATATAAAATATAAACCGGAGGTAGAATATACTTTTTTTAACAAACGATCGTTTGAAAATAATTCTCATCAATTTTTACGGCTCCGAAATTATTTTTTCAAACAACAAGCTCCGTGTTATGAAATTTACTATTTCCTGAAATTAGTAAAATCCATTTGCGCACCATATTGAGTTGGATACTAAATCCCTCTTTTCGGAAAATGAAGGATGCCCAGTGATAGAAATGGTAGATGTAACCTATGGTTGTATCTGCCTGAATAGAAGAGCATACTGATTCAGATAGTTTTGGTAGACTGTAAGACTTTTCTTTGGTCACGGTGCTCGGATGTGAGTGCATGTTGAGTTTGTTCCTTCCAAGAAAGATGCCACCCTACTGTAATCCATCGGTGAAATCAAGAAAGAATGATAAATATCCAGCTTTAAACTCTAGACTGATATAGAAATTTGAGGCACCACATTTAATTTGTCTTCGATTTAAGAAATCACAGCAATGCGGACTTCAAGTCTCTCTCACTTCCTTGATATCGTTTCTTTCAACTATCAAGTGTTTGGAATCAGAAGAAAACTAAACGTACAAAGCATGAAGTGGCTCTATTCTATTATTTTTCCATTATCAAGACAAGACCTTGGGTCAAAAACACCGACATTTGATTGTTTGGAAAATGCGTCATTTGGACAATGACAAATGAGTCATGTTCGAGACTAGATATAATTTTCATGACAGAGCAAACGAGATTTTTGTAAAAGAAACATACATATCGTGACGGAGCGTTTCATTTGTAGAGCTTTGTCTTCATTTCAATTTAAACAAATATCATTTCTCATCTGAATTTTCAGTTGGTTTCTTGCTCTGGGATCAACTTATCCAAAGATTTTAAATAGTCGACTGCTGTCCAACTACCCCACGTTTAAGCTAATCCTTCTGACAATCAAACAAAATAGATTTTAAAACAAAGGTCTGTTTAAATTCCAGAGTAGTCGATTTTCTCTTCTGAAACTATAGTATTTATGTTATTATTGCACAAATAATAGACAAACATTGCTCATTTTAAGAGATATAAATAATCAAAACCTATTCGTCCATTGTGAATCAACTTTTTATTGAATATTGGTCCATATGCTTCAAATTATATTGAAATCTGCCCTGTCTGTTGAATCTACTAATGAACTAATTATAAAAATGCATTATTGACTGATGATAACAAGTTGGCTTTTAATGTTTCGTTTTCCAATATGTTACATCTATGATTTTCAGATGGAGGAAATGGGAGGAGTTTTTATTTGACAGTTGTTTGTCAAAACCACGTGGCGCAATTAATACCATCCAATCGTTATGTATGGTTTTGCCACCGGTATTGGAATCAGTTAACTGGTTCAGACTTGGCCTGTATGGTCCATGGCTCGATGGAACTATTCCTTCCAGAAAAAGCAGGAGAGATAGCCTATTCCTATACCCCATGACACATGACCAAGTGAAGCCAGTCCTGGTCTGGACAATGCAGTGATGACAACACTAACAACCTTGATAGATATACAATGCAAACAAACCGGTATGGCATTGTACTATATGCACATGCCTGCATATAATCAATTTGTTGCGCAGAAAATTATGTAATCAAAGCCATTATTATGGCTGTACGTGATAAAGAGTGGATTCTTCACCACGTTACTTTGATGGACATTAATGTATGCATGAAAGGTGTTTGATTGCCAAGTAAGTCCTGCCCAGTCTCCGCCTTTTGTGAATAATCATCTACCCCACGTGGGTTGAAATTGAAGCGAAAATGGCGTCTCTTGTTGATATGGCCAATCATTCGTTTCCATATATGGAAAGTTATATTTGCTTTCTAGCATTGTTAGTGGATTGTACGATGGTTTAGATTATGTTGATGTGTGTGGTATTATCAATAGCCTGTTCACACTCACTTTTTTCTTTTCTGCTTTTCTGACATGGAAACAATGTGTGTAGAATAACGGTATATTTTTTACAGTGTATATCTATATTGCTTAGTTCCCGTAACATAGTTATATACACAGATTGTGCTATCAAGTCCTGTACGAATGTTACCAATAACAGAAAGCCAATGTGAATGTAGCGATGTGTGCTAATTTTATGAATGATCGTTAAATGAAGGATACTATGAAGACACGTTCGACTTTACTCGTGTTTTAGTTACTTGGATTATCGAGCGATAGAAAAACCAACTCTCATTCCTCCATTTGATGAATTTGTTTCGCGTTTTTTACTGCCATTCTGTATGACGTTAGAAATGGATTAGAAAGGCTACTTGTCTTGTGCTTTAATAGTGCTGCTAAAATTCTAGACATTTGCAGGAATTATATATACAAAAACAGGAAGTGAAAATGTATCCTAACAGACATGTAAGTAAACAGGGTTATAAATCATCTATTACTCTCTTTGATGTTTTGATTTAATCACTGAGCCATATCGAATGAGTAAGGAAGGTTATATTATGGTTAAACCGGTATATTATTTGCTTATTGCCCTTATTTAACGGGATAACGGTTCCAGATGAATGATAACACAGATGATGAGGTCAATATGAACTGGGGTGTATTAATATTGTTATTGCTCAGTGTATATATTCAGAGAAAATGATACTGTGGCAAACAAGAGGGATTATTCGGGTGAGAAGGGTTTAAGATGACCCCTGTGACTTGGAAATATGTCAATATGAACCAAAGTAGGCTTATATAATTATTGTTGTTACTCAAAATGGATCAATTATATTTCAATTTAATCACTCCATATACTGTTATATACTGGCTCAACATGGTGGTATTTACGATGAGAGATAACCTGGAGTAAACTCACTGGGATCTATATCATTGTTATCACATTGGTAATGCAATTACCAGAAGTAATTTGGTGTTAGTCGAAATAAGTGGTTACTCACATAACAAGCCAACAATTTGAAGGCCATCAGTGTCAATTATTATGTCCTGCCACTGTCTATTATAAGGTCCTTCCAGTGCCTTTGATTAGGTCCTACCAGTGTCTATGATAAGGTACTATTAGTGTCTATGATGAGGTCCTACCAGTGTTTATGAATGTCCTGTCAGTTCCTATGATAATGTCCAGGAAGTGTCTTGCCAGGGTCTTTGATTAGGTCCTACCTGTGTCTATGCTTAGGTCCTGTCAGTATCTATGCTTAGGTCCTGCCAGTGTCTTTGATTAGATCCTACCAGTGCCTATGCTGAGGTTCTGCCAGTGTCTATGCTTAGGTCCTGTCAATGTCTATGAGTATGTCATGCCAGTTCCTATGATAATATCCAGGAAGTGTCTTGTCAGTGTCTTTGATTAGGTCCTACCAGTGTCTATGCTTAGGTCCTACCAGTGTCTATGCTTAGGACCTACCAGAGACTTTGACTAGATCCTACCCTTGCCTATGCTTAGGTCCTGTCAGTGTCTTTGATTAGATCCTACCAGTGCCTAAGCTTAGGTCCTGCCTGTGTCTTTGATTAGATCCTACCAGTGCCTATGCTAAGGTCCTGCCAGTGTCTTTGATTAGATCCTACCAGTGCCTATGCTTAGGTTCTGCCAGTGCCTATGCTTAGGTCCTGCCAGTGTCTTTGATTAGATCCTACCAGTGTTCTGTGATAAGGTTCTGCCAGTGTCTTTGATTAGATCCTACCAGTGCCTATGCTTAGGTTCTGCCAGTGCCTATGCTTAGGTCCTGCCAGTGTCTTTGATTAGATCCTACCAGTGTTCTGTGATAAGGTTCTGCCAGTGTCATGTGATAAGGTCCTGTCGGTGTGCATTATTGTGTCTTACCCGGGCATCTAATATATATCTAATATTAGTTCTTGCATGTCTATGATTAGATTCTAGACTAGGACCTGCTAGAGTCTATGTATAGCTCCCTTGATAAGGTCCTGTCAGTGTCTATGTTATGATGATGCCACTGTCCTTGATGACCTCTTGCCAGTGTCTATGAGTATATTTTATTAGGTCCTGTTAGTGTCTATGATATGGTGCTGCCAGTGTCCATTATTAGGTCTTGTCAACATTTATGATAAGGTCCTGCCAGTATCTTTAATTAGCTGCTATCAATATCTGTACTGTTATTGTCAGTGTTCAACATTAGGTCCTGTGTGTGTTTATGATTAGTAGTCCAACCATTACGATAAGGTCCTACCAGTGTCCTGTTCTGCCAGTGTCTATGATTAGGTCCTGGATAAGGTTCTGCCAGTGTGTACAGTTAAGATGTCAGTGTTCTATGATAAGGTCCTCCCAGTCTACGAGTAGATACCATATATGTTATGATTAGGTCCTGTATGTGTTTATGAATCAGGTCCAGCCAGTGTTCATGATAAGAAACTGTCTACTGTATGTACTGACAATTGGGTCATTGGAAGAGCTTTGCCAGTGCCTGAGTGAATATGGTTATCGTTAAATACTCAGCTGTAGATCAACAATGACCTCAATTATCTCAACTTCTTATACCAATTTCATTATGTCTGTGAGTCGTGTGTACAGACAACTACCAGGCAAATCATTTTCTTTAGTAATATTGATCAACAAATTGCTGGAATAGTCTCAAGATTATGAACAACTTAGATGGAACTATCCATTATTACAGCTATAAGATTGGCTATAAGTGCTTTATAATTAGGTCATGGCAATTGTGCTTGGCATGATGCTCCTTTTTGGCATTTTTGATGATATATTATTTAAGTATGCAGATTTAATTTATGTGTATGAAAATGATTCAGGTTAGGCATCTAAAGTGTTTGAAATACATAAGCATTATTTGAGTGAGATTCTTGTGTGTACTCAAACCTTGAAACTTTCTCACAGGCTGAATATTGGAAACTGTGTTATGGACAGTATCTATTGAAGACCTGTTAACAAAATGGATTAGGGATCAGGCTTTAAAGAAAAAGTCCCCTTAATGGCCATTATTTTGAACCAGTTCAAAATTGAGTTATTTGTTTTTAGCGTTTTGTTTATACACCAAAGAACACAATGACATAAATTAGTGCAGAAGTTGGTGCCTGCTGTCTAGAATCTGTAAAAAAATTGCATTGATATCTTTCATCAATTTCAAACACATTTAAAATTCATTAAACATTGTGTGTTATGGATGATAACAGCTCGGATCAATTAATAAGACAGGATTATTGAGTCCAAATGCATAATACATCATCTTACGCTTCATTGACTGCTAAATTCTCTAGACTCTGTCATCCAGAATTGAATGATTAGTGATTGAAAGACTAGATGATCTGATCTATGTAATCAATATGAGACTTGTTGAATATCATTGATATTGCTTGTATATTATTGAACTTGTATATAAACTGCTAGTGAAATATTGTCCTTTGAAATACTGGCTATAGTTTGTATGTGTTCAATAAGAAAGATACATTGGACTACTTAAGTGTCATAAATGATTGAATGGGTAGAAATTGCTCTTGACCTAGTGAACATATTTAGCTCTACTTTTATTTCTTATAAGGCCTATGTATGGTTGAGTACAAAACAATTAATAATTGTTTATAAAAACTACTAGAGAAATATGATTTAAATCACTAAAAACTAAATCAAAGCGTTTTGATCAAGAGCGTTTGTGGAATGTTACCTCTGTGGTATTGTAACTGTTAAATTACGCATCTTTGCACACAAGGGGCTGATTGAGCACAATATATAGTTTTGAATATTGTGTAATGTTTTCTGATACAGCCTAGTAAGTAAGCATTGAAGCTAGAAATGAATTCAGTTTTGTATTCTCAATTTTCAGCATCAAATTTGGACAAACGACTGATATGCCTGATAGTTATCAATTTTCAACTGTTGAATTCTCTGTAAAAGGTGCCAGATGATAGTATTTAGGGATTTTAACAGAATTAACAAAGTCATCTACCAGCTGATGCTTTTGGCGTTAGGCATTCCAGATAAAATTCATTGCCATAGATATGCAAAACCTCAGCTCTTCATCCTATCCAAGAACCAAGACACATTACCTCTGTCATCTTCATTTCGAATATCCCAATGTCGGCCATCTTATTTGATGAAAGGAGCCTATATAGAATATACCTGTTGAATATGATTGACTATTTTGAATTATCCAAAATCCTGGATTACTGCCTATCATTAAAATCAGATCCTGTTATCAATATCAATTTTTGTCTGATCTATATTGAAGAATCACTCTAAATATTAAATGCTCAATACTCTTAAGAATAGGGTAAAAATCATGGGTGTTGACCAAATTATGCCCCCAAAAAATTTGTAAATAGCTTTAAATTTAGACAAGTAACACATTTTATACAATTTTATTTTCATACAAGAGGTTACTAAGGTCAGCCATTGAAGAATAAACCAGTTCAATTTGTAGCTTGTCGAATTGTCAAACTGTTTTTTAATGACCATCATAAAAATAATTCATGACTAGAGTTTGGTAGTCAGAGTGTTATCGACTAATATTTGAATAAAGTAAAAACTTGAGTTTCAAGCACATTATATTCTCATTACAATCTTCAAGTCTGAGTTTTGAATGACAATGAAGAAGAAGGAACAGATGGTTCAGACTAGTTTATTTTACTTCATGCTTCATCAAATGTTTCACTTCAAGTCTAATTAGTTATTCAGTGTTGTTGTTTTTAAGAATAAACTTTAATAGTTTGTTTCTTTATGTATCGCCTTTGAACAGAGGGCTTGTCATCAGATCACACAAATATAAAAGTAACATTTCAACAAACTGAACATAAGGGGATAGAGGAACTGGTTATGACATCAGAATTTGTTTCAACTTATAAAGGAGGATTCGAACCCACAGCACCTAATCGCCATGCAGACAACAATCTAACTTGCTACCAATAGTTTGGTGGTCAGGATCAGTTTAGCTTGTAACCATCTCACGATAGGCAGATCCAGGAATATGTGTTCAACTTAGTGACTTATTGAATAAACACTACCGGTACGAAAATTAAGAGCTAATGAAACTATGTAAACAATAGTTTGAAAACATTATCAACAGATAGACCATTGCCCAGCACAAACTGGAGTTGAATATTATAAATATTTTGAACTAGACTAGATGACATTTGTGCATAAACCTTCCCAACACGCTTTAATCTTTCCATTAAAAGCCATTGGTCTGTGATATCAGAGAAGATAATACATTTCCTGGCATCCATTTGTAAGACTGATTCTTTTACTGAAGCATGGAAGTCAGTCAATCAATTTCCGCACAAATGGGTTCTCCTCAGCAATGAAGGTACCCATGCATCACTAAACCAATTGATATACAGACTGGCACCTTTAAGCTTATGAATTTGATGAAATATGATTTATCATATCCTGAACAATGACCTTTGACCCCTTTCTCACATTGTGTCATTAATCAATATATAGAAATGTATATTCAACAAACTGGTAATTTGACTGGTAAATTGAATGATATTGATTAAGTTATATAGTCATTCTATATCAATTTGTTCTGCTCCAATTATAGCATAATGGTAGTGAATTGTTCTGAATAGAAATTAGTTACAAAGTTAAGTTAGGCATATTTGTAGAACCATTCCTGTGAACTGAATTAGGCTTAATTAATGCTGCAATCAGTGCAAACTGAAGTCTATTGTTGCAGAGTAAATTTAAACATAATTTTGTAGAAAATACTGAATTTGGACTTTCAAAATCTTTTAAGACATGAGCATTAGACCTATGACACAAGAAATCTCTCATTTTAAACTGACACTTTTGGTTAAAGAACAGATAAATTGAAAACATGTCTTCAGTATGATAAATCGTGGATCCTCAGAAGCTGAATTTAGTGTTTGCAAAATGAAAGATAAATAGATTGAGGTCCTGTTGCACCTGTATAAATAAAAGGGGCCCAACTTGAGGATCAATACTGGTGCCATGGCTATATACAGTATATTATATAACATGCAGTGTATGTTTGTGTGTGTGTCTTTTCAACTAAAATCATACTAATGACTAACTAATTTTCACATAATTAATAGACTTATCTATTGCTCTGTGACCTAGGCCAGTGCTTTCATTGAGACTCAATACACCCTAACACTGGCAAAATGTGTTTAAGACCCAAGCTTGGAAACTAAATGTCATGTGATCCTAAACTTCACAAAAATCAAAACACTAATTCTTTATTTTGCTTTTTTGTAGAATACACCAGGCCAGCCTATAAAATTTACAGTATCAGAATCATGTGATCGTATTAAAGAAGAATTCAGTTTTCTCCAAGCACAGTATCACAAGTAAGTGTACCATAAGTGTTAAGTGGAAAAGCATCAATCTGTGATTTTGGTTCTTGGGATGTTTATGATCAAATTCGCACAAAAAACTAAAAACAAATCTTTTTTTATGGACAATGTTTGCGAAAAAACTGAATTTGACATCTAGATGCCATATTGTTTACAGTTAGTAGCTCTGCAGAAAGCCACAAGAGGTGCCCAGTTGGTAAGTGTGCGCTGAATGGAGCTGGCCTTTAAATATTTGCTTTTGAAAGCTGCTCTTGTATTTAACTGTTTGTAATTGTCTCTTTTAGTCTGAAAATGGACTGTGAAAAACTGGCTCAAGAAAAAACTGAAATGCAAAGACACTATGTGATGGTAAGTATCAATATTCAAAGTATTCCGTACAAAATCAAAAACCATAGCTTTGATATTTAGATTCATTGTTATTAATTTTTATTTAAATTGCCAGCTACATCCAATTAATTTTTGATTAACCATTAGGACTTGTTGGTTTGGTTTTGTGTTCACTTTTCCACCTTACCCCTTCTATATAACTAGGAACAAGCCCCTCTCTTGAGCCACAGTATCACCATCTTTCTATCAGGTAGAAAGGTATGGATGTAATAAGGAAGATAATAACTGATAATTAATAGGTAGTTATTGACCAAGTATATATAATTATACAATACTAATGAACTATAGATTACATCTTAATGTCCGTTTTACTGGGATAAAAACAGGTCAAAATATTCACCATAATACTCACTAAACTATTTGCCCTACAGAAAACTATAAATTACTTAATTATAATTTACTCAGATCTAGTAGAATTATATTAATGGAGTTTTACTTCCTGTTGTTTTATTTGACCTGAAAGCACGAAACCACTGTAATTGGATTTTTACAATATTATTGTCAAAATTTCAGGACCATATCAGCAATTTTGACCATTATGAATAAATGTTAGGGCAAAGGCAACAAGTATCTATTTTAATGTGAAGTTAAGATGGAAATTCCATAAAACTTCTAAGGAACTAAAGATCAAAAAGATTATATTCATTATATATTACCTCAAAATTACTCTGAAATTGAAAATCAATGTTTTATAAAATAATGAAAGTGCAGCTGAATTTCACAGACTATGTACCTTAAATTGATAGCAGACAACAACTGGTTTTGAAACAAATGTCGGGAAACGATGAGGCAACAAAAGATAACATTTCCTATAAACTACTATCTTTAAATTGAAGCCAATTGGTGAATCTAGAAATAACTTGATAATCTTATCTGCTTTATGTATTCGTTTATTGGAATTGGAGCATTCTTAACTAAATTAATGAAATGTAAGAAAAAGGCTATTGGCAAGTCTACAGCAACTTAGTTAACTGATCCAGTTAATTCTAAGATTGGCAGATCAACTAATAGTTTCTTTCTGCTGGAATATTGAAATAGAGATATCTTTTTCTGAATGTATTTCATGCGAATTTTGAGACTTAAGACATGTATTGAAACATTTGGAGGAAATATAATAAAGTAAAAGTTTGAGTACTGTGAAAAGCTGTAGATGTGCAAGGCAAAGTCTAGCACATGATCAATATGAGGATTAAGCAGAGGTCACGTAAGACTTTGCAGAAAAGTACGAGTACCTAAATCAGAATTAATTCAAATACTGTATCAGAATTTATATCCATCTGTTTCACACTGTTAAATTTAATATAATAATTAAAATTGTGTAATCAAGTTAAATTTTCTTTAAAAAGAATAACAAATTTTACTCCATACATCTACCTAATGAATTTCAAACTTCAATTTGTCAATTCTAACAGTTCAGTTTGAGTTTTTCCCCCGCTATAAAAGCCTCAACTATCATTTTAGCCTAAAATTTTCATAATAAGACTAATTTATAAACCTGGTCAAACTATCCTCCCAAAGAACTTGCAAAATAAGAATTTTGTATCAAAATGTATATCCACTACCTCAGACTTGAGTGGGATTTTCAAGTAGGTGAATGACAAAACAATACAATCTGTGTGAATGAACTAATTAAGATAGTGAAGTAGCCAGAGTAAAAATAAATACACAGAGAAAATATTTATTGTTTATTTTCTCCTCTTCAATCTACACCTGCTTATCAATTGTTTCTCGGCTTCCTCTTCCAAGTAGCCGTTAAAATGATGTCAAAAATAGCACACTGCCAATAACTGCATAATTTAGCTACAAGACCATGTGAATTCACGCAAAAGAAGAGATAATTTCCTTCAAGAGAGACCCTTATCTTTATCTAAGTGGTGCTTGGATTTTCTTTATACCAAGCTAGTCTAATCTTTTGTCGTTTGCTGAACGTCTTGACTAGAGAGAAATAATCATAGCACAGCTTTAATTTTCTGATTACATTGCACTGCCGACTGTCTTGTGTTAAACTTGCCTGCTATTTATTGATTTTTTCTTTCTCGCTTTTATCTTTTCTCCTTCACTGCTCAAGCCAATCTTTGGTCTGAATAATTATATCTAACTGCACATATTGGCTTTTGGGAGGGATTAATTTGGCCTGGACATGAAAGTTTGCATGTTACGAGTGTTGATTGATCTTGGTATTGTGATGAAACTTGTCATTGTGATACCATGATTGGCAGGCAAACAATGATAATACCTCAGAAAGAGTGTTAACTGTAAAAATATCCCCTGAACAATAAACTTATTTCTTTTCTTATTAAATTAAAACAATCAAAACAATAAAACATCAACTCATAAAATCAATTTTTATAAGAATTGAATATTAATTCTCATAGAATTTATATAATCACATTCAATGCTGACTAGACATACAAAAAACATACTCATGAAAGGCTGCTTGTAACCTCAGAAATATTCCTTTTTTCAATGAACATATTAAAGACTTCATGAGCATTGTGACACACAGACAGAGCAAATGACATTGATCTACTGGCCTTATTATGAACAGCAACGAGTTAAAAATATTCTTGATGAAATTCTGGGTAGACTTCACAGATCTTTGAAAATTGTTCCTCAGAAAATAATTTCTAATAAACTTTTCAGCCTTTTTATCAAACATCAGTCAGAAACATTATACTTTCACAGAAGTAATACCTCTAATTTTCCTATTAATTTATCAGAGGTCATTTCATTATCAACCTCCTGTCCCTGTATTCACTTAGATCTTAATCTGATGTTTCCACTAGTTGTCTAATATGTCACTTTCCTCTTCCATTTCAGTATTATGAAATGTCATATGGATTAAATGTTGAAATGCATAAACAGGTAAGCACCATCCCTATTTCTATATTTTGAGAACTGAGAGAAGGGACACAGAGTTTCTTTCAGCAAGCATGACACCAAGGCTCCTGTATGATTTTTGATACAAATTTTGATTGTTTGGCCCCTGACCAAATGCATCTTGGTAGGCCTATTATTTTATAATGCAACAACCTGATACCAGAGATTTTTCAACAAGTTTCCGAGGTATTCAAACTAAAATAACTGTCAAAGTTAACGAACAATTTCAGAAAGAAAAGTGATAAAAAAGAATTTATGTATTTTTTCTATAAAAAATAGAAATAATATTCGTCTCAGTATAAAAATTAGGCTTTGAAAAGAAATGCATAAAATTGTCTCAAAGACAAAGAAATAAAAATTGTATCAATAAAGAGAAATCTTTTCAATCTTCTAGCTCAATAAGCTCATAGAAAACTATTAATAAAACAAAACTTAGACAAAATCAATAGCTCTGACCAATATTATCATGGTCTTTGCTTTGCATTATTTATATTTGCCAGATTTTCTTGTTAAAGCAGTAAATTAGTGGAGTTGATCTGATATAATGTTATTAAGACAGAGAGAAAGAAGCTCAAATTACTCATAATGAATTAAGAAACATTTTATTGTTGTTTTTATTTCCTCTGATCAATGATCATGTTTTATTCATTTAAATGTGATACTGGTCGATTGTCGTGTAGGCCAGGGGATTTTACCTTCAATACCACTACTTAGTAAGCTTCTATTAAAGGAACAATGGATTATTCCTGGATGTTATTAATGGTATTTTAGGCATTAATTCCATGGTGACATTGTACCAAATTGTCATACAGAATCTGACATTATTTCCAGGGTGACATTGTACCAAATTGTCATACAGAATCTGACATTATTTCCAGGATGACACTGGCACTAACTATCAGACAGAATCTGAAATAATTTCCAGAGTAATTTGGCATTAACTATCAAAAAGATTCTGACATTATTCCCAGTATGACATTGGCACTAACTATCAGACAAAATCTGATATAATTGCCAGGGTGACATTGGCGCTAACTATCAGACAAAATCTGACATTATTTCCAGAGTGATCTTGTAGGCATCTGACATTATTTCCAGAGTGATCTTGTTGGCATCTGATATTATTTTCCAGAGTGATCTTGTAAGCATCCGACATTATTTCCAGAGTAATCTTGTAAGCATCTGACATTATTTCCAGAGTGCCCTTATTAGGCATCTGACATTATTTCCAGAGTGATCTTGTAAGCATCCGACATTATTTCCAGAGTGATCTTGTAAGCATCTGACATTATTTCCAGAGTGATCTTGTAGGCATCTGACATTATTTCCAGAGTGATCTTGTTGGCATCTGATATTATTTTCCAGAGTGATCTTGTAAGCATCCGACATTATTTCCAGAGTGCCCTTGTAAGCATCTGACATTATTTCCAGAGTGCCTTATTAGGCATCTGACATTATATTCAATGACATTGTTGATGACAGTGTTGATTACTACTGAAATTATGAAATATAAAATTGACTGGATATATTTTGAAACAGACCCTGATGAGAAATATTTTGCCTGACTATATATAAATGGTTTGAAATGTCTACATGACATTAACATTGTAGTTACTTTCCTCACTGTACCTATATATATATATATATATATATATCCAATCAGAGGTTTGACAAAAGTATAATATTTATATATATTGTTTATGTGACAAAACAATAATTTAATTCCTAAATACATGTATAGAGATAAAATACCTTCTAGAAATTAACCTGAAAAAAGCTGGAATTTATTATTTACATATCAATACTATCAATAAAGTTGATCATCTTATCAGCATGGCCACATGTTACACTTGTATCATGGTATTGATATTTACCATTCAATACTGTAAATGTATTTAGTTAATGTTCAGTGGATATACCAGGTGTAATCAATCCATATTTTATTTGAATATTCTAATCAGTTTGTTAGATATAATTTAATCATTTAATCATGGTTGAGGCTAAGCATAGTCTGAAACTCTTGTCTGGCTTCTCATAGTTATTGTAAATCATCGGCTGGACAACAAAGGTTGAGATATATATTCTCCTGATCCATTCTAACAATTATGGATTTTTCAAACACTCCAAAGGCAATGAGACGCTGAATCCACTTTATCCTGATCCATTCTATCGATTATCAGCTATAATAGTCTCAAAACAATAGTTGGCATCAAAAATATATTAATACCTTATTAAGTAATAAACAACTAGACCCTGAGGGGTAACTACCAATCCTATAAATTGACAAATTTTTGACAAACAATTGTTGAGAAATTGAGAAATTCTCCAATTTTACATTTCTTTCAGTGAATTGTTAGTTATTTATTAAGAAAATCTAACAAATAGGTAATGGCAAGAGGGCTTTCGACTGAAAGTTGTGGTACATGCATGTTGAAGCAATTGTGGATAGAATGAGAGGCTGGCTTTAGATTATACCATCTGAACAACATAATGGCAGCTCGTGATCTTCTTAAAAAGATAATTTGAATGATGAGAACTTTAATAGTTTAATATGGAGTTATTATGCATGATTTATATCTTAATTCAAATATTTACTCTATGTAAATTGAATTATCTCTTAATAGCATAAATAAATATGGTCTTTTACTACACTTCATCGGCAATCTATAAATAACTATATAACTCAGTGAATTTTTAAGAAGGGCTGTGGAGTTGACAAATCTAGTTGCATAGTGGCATCAGGTTTATGGAAATGTGAACATGTCTGCTCAAAGTCCTATACATGTATGTATATGATTTCAACATTTGGTTGCTTACTATTTGGAATACTGACAAATCTAATCACAGACTTGCATGAGGTGATCTGAAAGGGGGTGTTTACCCTACCACTCTAGCAACACCCATTATGTCAATCATTTACAGTAATCCCAGGAGGGGTTACAAATAAATGACGGATAGCACAACTATTCTGAACTATTATTCAGTAATTCACACTGGTCAATTATTCACAAACCTTATCGTAGAATCTAATAAGGTGAGTTTAGCCTGTTCCTCCAAGACCACCCTATTGTCAATCACTGTCATGAATCCCAGGAGATGTTACAAGAATTTGGTGCATAATGCAACCCTTTTTAACTATTTTTCACAGTTGTTAATTATTCACAAACCCAATCACAGAGTAGGTGATCTGAAAGGGTGAGTTTACTTTGTTCCTCTATCACCACCCTCTATGTCAATCATTGTCATGAAGTGGAGATATTGATGCTCCTGAATTCATGGAGTACTCTTGGACTGAGTAACACAGGTTTAACGAATAATTTTAATCTTCAACTCATCTGTAGGCAGGGAACGTCAATAAGCAACACAAAGAAGCAAATACTCAGAACTAAACGAAAACACTGCCTGGATCTAAGAGCCATTTTACATTGAAATTATATGCTTAGTAAATATTGACATTGTTGTGTAAATATTCCCTTCTTTAGCCATTAGCCATCAGATCATTATTGGTATTTTGTGTGATTTGTCTTCTATTCATTTGGAGTGTTTATCTTTATATTCTCATAGATTTTATAATGCTAACAATCTATCAAGCAAACGTGTCGACATGTGTGCTTATTCGCTAGTATAAATAATAAAAACTTGAAATATTAAACGTACGTCTATTTCGTATTTAAGTTGTTATCATACGCGATCAATATTGCCAGTATTTGAAGATGTGTCCTAATGTAAGCATTATCTAGTTGACACAGCTCTTTGAAGTTTTGTTGTAACTACTTTGCATTAGTGTGATTAAGTTTTGTTAAATAAAGTCTGTCGAATTCTTATTTGAAAAAAATTTGAATGACAATAGCAGGTTTTTTTTTTATTAAAATCTAGACCTTAAGGAAAGATTTTTTTCAATGTGAAAAAGGTGTTGGCTTTGTGGAAATGAAAATTATATTGAGTATTTGAAAAATAAGATTTGAATAAGAGATTTAATAGAGCAAATGTCATTAGGTGTAGTTATGACGGATTGTGAACTAACTGTGTAGTTAATTTTGGGGTTTTCATACTTCAATACTCAAGCACTTTCTAATGCAGAATCTTTAACTTATAACTGTTTATCAATCCCAGATAAGCTTGATTCAGACTGTTGAAAAATTGTTTTATCTCATGAGATAATGAGAGGGATGCTCAACACCTGCTGTCATTCTGCAATTAAGATTGGTAGCTCCTTTGAAGAAAGTCAATATAGTAATTAATATATGGTACATTTGTAACATGAAGAATTCAAAAAAATAGTTTTTAATCACTAGTAGGAGTGCAATATTGATGGAATAAATGGTTGGAGTTCTCTTCAGTCTTTCTGATGAGTCCACAAAAGGTCCTCAGTATTTGTGTGAGTGTTAATATGAAAAAAAAATAACCTGCCAAGCTGGTTGCAGCAATATGAATTAAATATGTCTCTATTTAAAAGCAAAACAGTTTACGATCAATAGAAAGAAAGAGAAAGGTTTTAATAGGTTTTTTGTGGAGTATAAATCCTAATGAAAATAGATTTCAATGTTTCGAAACTAAAGACTTTGGCTTTATTTCTCGAGAGAAGTTTATTTCTTCGCACTAGTGAATGTGTGGCGTGTAATCAGCATACAAGTAATAAAATCAAGCTTTCAATTCCATCGAGACTGTCATTATTATAACAACTTCACGTTGATTCTGTCCAGTTCTTGAATCCTAGGGGAGACAACAAAAAATATGGCAGATAACGTAACTCTTTCTGAACTATTTTTCACACATGTCAATTATTCCAATAATGTAAAATTCTGTCTCCTGAAGTCTTATATTTAAAAATTTCAAACTTCCATAGGTAGAAACTCTGTTGTGAAATTACTGTAAAAAGTCCTTAATTGAAATTTTTTTTTATAGTCTGTCGGACAATACGTTTCAAATGAGGTAGCTCCAAAATGCACCAAATCTCATGAGAAAAAAGAAATAAAATGATCTGGTGATTTACTGCTTACTTATCTTCAATTTATTGCGGATAAAGTGATACACCAATTTAGTAGGGCAAGCAGTTCCCGTTAATATAGAAGCTGCTATCTTGACAAAATTTTCACTCCATGCAAAATAAGAAATTTGATTTCAATGGACTTTAGTCTTCAGATTTCAGTTATCACTCCAGCAAAATAATTTTCAATACAGTTTGCAATTTTTGAGAGCTCGAATCGTTGGATTAATTACGAAACCTTTGCACTGAAAAAACTGTGTCCGTCAAGATCTGATCTCCAATTAGTATTAAGTTGCATGTATAGAAAATTTTCATCATAATGAAACAAACAAGGAAGTTATATTAGATACTGAATATCTGTATTACTCTTATAAAATTAATCAAATCAAACTATATTAATTGTAATAAAAGAGATAAATTTGTGATTTGAAGTGAAATTAAGATGAGGATGAGGTCTCTATTACTTAATGGAAATTAACTCCAGACAAGATTTCAGTCATTTATTATGCTTGGCTAAAAGACTATTTAACTTTCCTTTTAAAAACTGAGTTATTGAAAACCGATGTCTGATTTTAATTCCAGAAAGAATCTGGTAATTTTCTTATCAAAATACACTACTGCATGAAAAATAATATTTCTTTCTCAATTGAAGTCAAAATATTGAATGAGATCTGAGAGACATGAACCTCTCAATTCTGCATACTAGTTAAAGAACCACATAAAACTAGTATATGGCAAATCCAAATAATTTGTGACTAATTGTTGATATGTTGATATGTCAAAGTCCAAATTTCAAAGTTCTTGTTGCATTAAATTTTTTTTAGAAAAATTAAAAAGATCACCTGATGAATGATGGTCTCACACTAAACATTCCTGATATGAATACTTATATGTGGACATTTAAATAGTGAGCCGATATGGAAATCATGTTGAACGTTTGTAAGTTCTGTAGAAACCTGACAAAATCAAGCCTGACAATACAAGTAAAGTTTATGTATAGCAAGGTGTAATAATTGGATACTTACTTTTCATTGATAGATTACATATGAATGTAAATACTGAAGGTATTTTGAAAGTGGGTAAGTCCAAAGAAGGAAGTGTGAATGATGAAGGTGTGAATAGAATATATAAGAATGTTTCCATGAGCTAGAAATATCGAGAAAGTAATTAAGTTGTAGGCTGTTCTCTAAGGACATTCTCTGTATTGAATTATCTTGCTGATGATTGTTTGAAAAATGGTTAAAATGATTAAGAAAGTATAATTAATAGTCTCAAGAGATGTGACACTCTATTGATAGCTTTTTGATGTAATTTTAGGTTAATATATTGAAGATTGATCAAAGTACAAAAAAAGATATATATGTTTCTTGACACTTTTTGCAACCACATAATGACACCTAATACTGCTTATTGGCGATTATAGAAAGTCATCAGTGTAAGTGTTATTAGTTTTGCTGATAGACTTTCTTATAAAATGAAAATTAAATGGAGTTATACATTCTACTATTAAGCTCCTAACTTTGTTTAAGAAGAATATAGTATTGGGTATTATATATGATACATTACTTCAAAATTTAAAGTTCTTCACTATGCAGGCATGTAGCGTGTTTTGTGCTTGTTTTTAATGTCCAGCTTCTTGGTTGAAACATGACTGAAAGAGTCTTTGGTTGGTCCTGTGCTGTGAACTGCGAACATTGGTTTCCATGAATGCAATGGTCAAGCCAGGAGTAATAAAGAATCCTTATTCTTTGGTTGACAATAATTTTGAGGATAATATAGATCAGTTATAGTCGACCTATGGATATTTGTCTCAATGAAAGCAATGACAAAGCCAGAAGCCATAAAGCAATACTTATACTGCCAGCTTTTATTGAAAAAATGCTGTTGTTAAGTCACTGAAGGAAAACAACAATCATTGTTATTTGAAAAATAAAAATTTGTTGAGTGCTATCCTATGGATATTATGACAATAATGGTGGTGTCAGCCCCTTCGCTATTCTGTTCAGCAAAGATAGATTCATTTACAGTGTCTTTGTACAAAATTAAACAGATTCAGAGCCTTTAATTCTTCAAATTTCTGAGTACAAAATCCGAACCTCAGCACCAATTCATTCCTGGGGAAGGGTCTGGGGGTGTGAACCTTTAAGTCAGCGAAGGATAGGAAAGATCAGTGTAATTTGACGAATGTGTTCAAATCTCCTATCATCTAAAAATAATTGAATCACATTTCCAGACTTTCTAATTATTGGTAGAAATTAATACAGTCATATCTTGAGTGTTCAAACAACCAGAATCATCAATTTGTAGGTTGATCATCCTGTCACTGATTGCTGGACTAACGCTCTAATGGCCAATATTGTGACTAGCCTGCGAGCGATGTCATTACATGATTACTACAGATCCAAACTGTCTCACACATACTGTAATTTGTATATACTTGTAAAGTTATTACTAGTTTAAAATAATATTGACTGACTCGATTTCTGCTAATACAAAAGATGGATGAATATTTTTTATGGCAATTATAACTCCAGTGCTCCTTTTGCAAAGTTGGAACATGAAATTTTGAAAATTGAAGCTCTAATTTTTGCAATACAGAAATGTATAGAATTAAATATTTTGCTGCAACTTTTGTCTCAATCTTGTAAGTAAGAAGATATTCCCTTGAACACCTGATATCAATTATATGAGATATCCAACTCATTTATTTTTAGCTTCAGGGGAATATTACCTTGAAATTATGCCATGTTGATACGTGCTTTGTGACAACCTGTAGCTTGATTAGTTTGTATAACTTTTGCAGACAATTCTTAGTGACTTATAATTTTTACTTTGCCAGGTCAATGTACCTTTTCTGATGTTCAATTTGTGTGGTGATTGGTTTGAAAAAGCAAAGCCTTTTGAAACAATGGATAACATCTATAAACTAGAATGATTGCATGTCCACTATAATACTTGATTCATATTAGGAGAAATCTTTCAATAAATAACCTAAAACTCATTGTGATAATTCTGTAAGACGTGAACAAAAAGATTGAAATGTTTTCATGGTGAGTGAAGAGTCACTAATGAAGATGAAGCACAATAAATTTCTATTAATATGATTGTATTTCTCTTTCTATGATATTGTCTTGAAATACCAGGGGAATATTCTTCAACCATCTGACATATTTCATTGTCTATTATGGCTTCTTTTCGCGCTCCAAAATCCGTAATTTTAGACTTGATATATTAAAGAAATACGACTCCATACAAGAGAAATATTGCCTGCATTTACTGTTCAGTGAAGAAGCCCCATGGGAGAAATATCTTGGAGTATGACAGTTATGATAAATATAGGAATATTATGAAGAAAGCAATTGCACTGTATCACATTTGGAGTGGAATTAAGACTGAACTCTCTGAAACAGCAATTTAGAATATTTCAATACCGGTACCACAGAATTATTTTAAAATCTTAATTTCATTTGTTGCATTTGTTAATGTTCATTTGTGTTATAAAGCTAACACAGCAATTAGAGAAATGGAAAGGCTTTAATCTGATCCCCAAAACGAAACCTGCAATCCATAATAACAGTTTTACATGATGAAATGTGGTAACAGTGAGCATATACCATGCCTGACTGCAGAAAATCACAACTAATTAAAGAAATGCCTGCTTGGAGTAGCTAATTTTTCATGAAGCTTGATTTCTGTTAGCTTTCATAGTAAGCTTCTTACCCTCCAACATATTTGTATGCTTAAAATGCTTAATCTGCTTATGTCAGGATTATCCAGTAACTACCTGTATAAAGAGGCTTGATTATCCAGGGTATAATGATAGCTTGTAAATCTATTGTAATAGGACTATTGTTACTAGTATTATATGTTGATTATTGATTTTTTTGACGTTTTTTCTTTATTCTAGACTGAAATAGCCAAGAGATTGAATGCGATCTGTGCTCAAGTTATTCCGTTTTTATCTCAAGAGGTTTGTATCTTGTTTATATCTCATCTTTTAAAGTACACTCTATCAGTTATCTCTCCAACCACAGTGGATTCTCAATAATCTTCAAACCCATCTGAAATAAACTCAGTAATTCCCAGATTCATAGAGCTATAAACATCATTAGCTAAAATCTTGGTTATCAGATTTCTCTGTATGAACCACAAATATTAAAATGTATATAACTATAATTTTATTGATATATCTGCAAAATTCATTTTGATTTGAAAATTTCATTATTTGATATTAATTTATTCTCATTTCCCAATCTGACTCTTCAGCTTGGTAAATATTTATCATAAATTCTTAGCATAAACAATTTGACTCATGAACAATTAGTAAGCTAGATTTTGTAGAATATCTTTCTGACCTGGCCTGCTGGTTGGTCTAAACCACCAGAAACACCAAAGTAATTATTTAAGGGAGAAGCTACAGTAGACAATATAATTCTATGAAAGTAATAAATAACGAAAATAAAAAACAATATTAATTACACAAGACTGGATCATGAATAAATTTTCTGCCCACACAGAACTGGTGATTGGATCATATTACCTCTCATTCTGTCTTCCAATTTATTACCAACATTTTTTTCATGTCAGATTCTATATCATCAGAAATAATAAAGAAAATTTAACAATTCTGTAGACATGGTCTACTCTTTATATCATTTTTATACAGTAAGAAACCTAAAAAATAAAGAGGTTCTCTGAAAGTTAAGAATTTGGGATTCTCCAAGATCATGTCAGCTGCTACCATTGATTATCCCTACACATATACAACTAGGTCAACTGAAATGCAAAAAGATATCCGGGTCATCAAACTTTGGCACATTGACTGAAGTTAATTACGAACAACCGCAATTACTATAACATCAACACCTTCAAATACAACTAGGGCATTTATTGGAAAGAATTTGTTTTATAATTCCAAGATTGTACCATTGGCAGAAGTTCTGATTCTCAACAACCTCAAATCCTTTCATTAATAACTTACATTTGCTCCATTCAGAGTCTACATTTGCCCCTATAGTACCATGGTGAATGTGTAAGTCTAGAAATTTTCCTGTTGAATTGAATGAAACTTTTGAAGTTATGATAATACCATATGTTACTTCTATTAGTATTGTATCAATTGTTATGTTTCATATACTACTTGTAGTATTGAGAATCAGGGCAAGGGGTTCTTCACAATCAAAAGCATTTACGTAAGTTTAGTGCTAAAGTGCTAAAATTGAGGCATATTGGCTTCTTTCAAGGAGAGAATGTATTGTCTAAAGAGCTACCTGACCTGACTTGAAGTTTGCTTGAAAACAATGTTCAATTTATATTGTGTCTTTATAATGTATTTTTTCTATGTCTTTCCAGCATCAGCAACAAGTGGCAGCAGCAGTGGAAAGAGCAAAACAAGTCACGATGCAGGAATTAAATGCTATTATAGGGGTAGGTTACAAGTATTTCACTTAAATTATTGGTATCAGTTGGTTTGGTAACAAGACAGTTTATTTTTGTACAGTCCCTAAGTAAAAACTATAAGTTTTGGACTATGGGACTACAGACAAATTGTGACATTATTTTCTCTTCTTGCAGCAACAGATGCAGGCCCAGCACCTACCACATGCCCATGCACCACCCATCCCAATGACACCTCATCCATCAGGCCTCCAAGCACCAATACCCCCAGTTTCAGCATCAGGTTTACTTGCATTATCACAAAGCTCATTCTCAGCATTGGCACACAGTCATGGATTGCTCAAAGAAGAAAAACGTAAGTATCTGATTTATTATAGTTATAAAGAATCACTTCACAGCAATATTTCACAAAAATTACAACTGGGATTTGAAGTGCCTTCCCAGATTCAGCCTTTTACATATTTAGGTCAACTAGAATAATGAAGAAGACTGTCCCTTTTTCTGGGATTTCTGAACCACATTACAAAAGAGTTAGTATGACATAAGTCTCTACTAGGCCAGTGCTTCTATAGGAGAGTATCTTCTATAACACCTATAACTGGGATTATAATGAGCCAAACAAGATTAAGGCTACCATATTTTTAGAATAAGCTAATGACAAAATGTTTATTGGTTGACAAATAATTGTGGTTTTTCTTCTCTTGATTTCAGATGATAAACACGTAAGTTAATTTTCTATCATTTCAAATATATTTTAAAATCGCAAGGATCATCAAAACATGTTCTTAGTTTAAAAATATCACTATGTAGGATGATAGCTTTTCAGAGCAGATATCTCAACACCTGATATCAAAAAGACTCAAGACTTTTCTGATATTAAATATATTTGATAGTCATATAGCATTGGCCATCATGTTTGTTTCTTATCTCTATACTTTGAATAAAGAGATTTTCATGATTCTAGAATCATAATTGATTGACACTGACAAAAGCAGGAATATCAAACAGTAAATTAACTGTGAGAGAGTAGAAGTGTGAAACCCAACACTCCCCCCAGCAAATTACATGTTTTACGAACCTGTTGTTTGAAGCTAAATGACTTGCAACAATTATCATTATCATTAACATTGTAAAAATAGAAACTCAACTAATTGCTCTGGCTTATTACTTTAATATTCCCTATCAGTCTGCCATTTTTAGAGTAATCACTTGGAAAACCATTTTGTTAAGAAAAAAATCAATACTTTTCACCCTTTTACAAATCTGTCACTTTTAATTTGATTAGACTTGTGATGAAGGTTTCAACCAGTAAATAAAAAAAAAAATCATCACATTGGGTGTTAATGTATCCTTGAATTTTATTCAATTGAAACGTATTTTTGCTTTTAAAGGATTTGTGTGAATTAACAAGTTGTGTAAAATATTTAATATTGTGGTGTCTTTGTGTCAATATTTTTACTGACAGTCAAGTGTTGTACTAGTAGGGCGATGAAGTTTACATCGTTTATTTGTTCATCCTTCTTCGTATCGCGAAGGCAAAAATTAGTTTGTCTTCTGCGAGAAAGTATTTTGTTCTAAGAATAAATAGAGTTTGAAGGTAGTGATTTTTCCTCAGGGTTGAGAGAGTTAGCAATCTCTTACAATGCCCAAGTGTGAAGTGTAAATATTGAGCTAGGTAGAGTGTTGTTAGAAGATATTAACTGTTTACCCTTCTTCCTCTACCACAATATTTAATGTCTGTGGAGCGCAATTCATGTTCCCTGCGTTTTTCCATTCTCTACTCTTGTTGCACGAATGAGAGGCTTGTTGAACAAACATGGAAGCTTCTTCTGTCCACATGCAATGTTTGGTCTTACTGGTGACAAAAGATTACTTCTAGCTTCCCGCCAAATGAGTTTATTTTTCCCAATGAGCTTTTGTTATTTGTATTCAGTTCTATATTTCTCAAGTTTGGAGTAAAATTAAGATGAAAGGTAAGCCAATATTGATTGTTTATTTAATGACAAATGTTTCTATTGCTAAATTCTTGACCCCTTTCAAATTCTTACACAACAGTGTATTTTTAACTCGGTAATGTCAATATCTTAAAAGATTGGAAGACTTTGATTGTAATAAAATATTTAATCACAGCAATCTATATTATCATTCGTGTACGTTTTTATATTGATTTGCTGGTTGTGTTGATGGTGCAAAGATTGTGGAATTTTAAAGATATTCCAATTGAGATGACAGTTATTATGTGAACAGCACTGTATACAATAACTGAAAATTTTTAACTGCCATTTGATTTATTAAGTAAGAAGTGCATTGTCTGTGAAGATTTAAATCTAATGATTGGGAAAGATGTAGTCATATGGAATTGACACAGATTTAAAACCAATCATTGCTATCAAATCATGCTTACAAGGATGGACTCTCTGACCAAGGCTTTGTGACATGAAGTCAAGATAACTTTGGTTTTTATGGTAAACAGAATACAATAATGTCAATCTAATTAAAATTAGGTATTAGATTTTAGTTTTAATATAGCGGAATATTGACTTCCAGGAGGGCTGATGTTAGGCCCTAACTGAAGTGGCTATATTGAAAATAAAAGCTATTAAAGAAACAGAACGAAAGTTTTGTCTAATTTTAATTAGATTGACATTGATATACTCCTTAAATACTATATGAATAAATTACAGAAAAAGGTAGAATAAGGTAGCAAAGTTGTCTATCAAGGTAGAATAGTGTTGGTTTTGGTTGGAAAAGAGGTTGAATAGCTTATAGCTGTGGTCAGAATTAATAATGAATGTTTATAGAAAAGACAGAGTATTAATGAAGGAAATGTTAAAACTGTGTTTCTATAATACTAATGTCTCAATCAAATAATCAACAAAACAAATAGAACCAGATAAGCCAAATAACACTGTGTGTATTGGCTGAATGAGAAAAGTTCAAGCGGCTAATATTTACTTTAAGACTTTGTGTTATTTATTGAGAGCTAGGCTTGTTAGTTTAACGAAGGGAGTTGAGTCCAAACATACATTAGATAGATATATACCTCCTATCATCTCTATATACTTGAAGTTACATGCGGAGTGTTTACCTTGACTTTATTACCTTTAACGAGTATTTTTACCTACTGTCTTCGTGCCTTTTAATCTGTAGAAATCTGTTATTAATATAAACTTATTATATCGAACACCAAGATCTATTTAATTTTCTTAGATAAATAAAAGCCTCATTAAACCCACCAGATACTGAAACTTTTTAGCCCCTGGGAATAAGAAGATCATATGTTGAGGAAACAAAGCACTTTTTTTGTGATCTAAACCACCTTTCCAATGGGTTTGCTTACTTTGCCCTTCAATAATGGAATGGAAATTATGATCATTTTGTTTGAACTCTGTTATATACTTCAAATTTAACACACACGAAAGCACAATCCACAGACAATTTTTTAATTTAATTACGAAATGAAGAATGAAATTTACTTATCAATTTTGCATCCCCCTTGTGTAGAGTTCATATAGTTTATAGTGTTAAATTGGTACCGTTATTGCACAATGTAGCTTTACTTCGATGAAAATAGAAGAATAATAAGGTTAAATCTAACTAAATATTTTTGTAACGTTTTTCGTATTTGACGTTAATTCTTTATTTGATTTAAACATTAGACTTGATCAATGCTAAATAATAGATATTTATTGATGTATGGCAACAAAACCAATATGTCAATTCAAGACATTGAAAAACACCATAGAAGTTGGTGTGAATTCCAAATGATCTATATTCTGTTGATGTTTTATGTTTTAGGTAAATTTCTATTTTTGATTTAGTAGGCATAGCCTGTTGCAGCACGTTTTACATTCTAAAGCTATTATAGTGGTAAACTATGACTTCTTTAACAAACATGAAGTGGACAGTTGTCCCTGCATTTAAAAGTCATTGATATAAAGTGCTTTTGGTGAATAATAGGTCGTCTTCAGTCTACCCAGCTGTAAATGGGTACAGATAATCCCCCAAAAGTGATTACAGTTGTCATCCTTCGAAAATATTTTATTCTTATAATTGTCTGATAATTTACCTACCTACCACCTATCTCTAGGTCTATTCTAAAAGATGATCCACTAATGACATTGCTTATCGTCTTTGTTCTCTTAGGCAGTTTTGATTGGAATATATATATCAGTTGTCTCTTTGTGTTCAGAGTTGACTTTTAAGACATGGAATGAGAGACAACAAGCAGCAGATCAAATTACTGGACAAATCATTTGGTACCATAAACAAGAATCCATTAAGAATTAATTGATAGCTACAGATCAATCAATAATACAACAGACTAAATGATGATAAATTAAATATTAGCTCTTTACCTTCATACAAATTACAATATTTAACTTTTTATAATAATACCCCTTAGTTCAGTCTTGTTTCATGCTTCATGAAATCTTTTGTCAAATTTATGGGTTTTGAATTAGATTTTTTATTTTGATAAATATTTGCTAAAACATTGTTTGGTTCAGTGAGTTTTAAGTTTGTATATGAAATGGAAAATTTATTCAATGACAATTGATTTTGTTTGGCTTCATTATTGTCAAAATCGTTTTTCCCACAATTTTATCAGCTATAATCTGCATAACTATAATAAGTTAAAATGACATGCTCAGGTCAGGGCAATTACTTTCCTGTTGTAAAATTATTCACTTGTTTTGTATGATATTAACTGCTGCATAAACTCGGCAGTATACAAAATCTTTGACTCACCATCATTTAAGAATATGTTGGTGCGGAAATCCTGTTTAATGTGAGATCCTCAAATCTTCCCCATATTCATGTATGATCACAGATGACATCTTAATATTTTGTATTGTGTCACGATATTAGTACCCATCATATGACAAAATGCCACTTAAAACTTTAGTATCAGATACTAAACTTTATTTCAGTTGTCTACAAATCCACTTTTATATCTATGATTTTTCGCTTTCGAAAACTTCTTCCTGGTTTTTCACTTTAACCAATTTCTTTTTGTATGTAAATCATAATGTTTACTTATCATTTCTTTCAATTTCCATTTTTCACAATAACTTCTCATTCATAGCTTTTTAATCCACCAGTTACAGTATGGCATAATTGAAGAGCCAATTTCTTGACTTGAAAACATTAGTTTAATCAACACTGGCCAATTTGAGTGTTTTCAAGACATCTGACTATGAATCCATTTTTATTTAAACCAATGAAAGATATTATCTTGTTAACATTGTCAATATACTGGTACTTCAATCAGTTTCTAAAGCCCGTGAAATCAGGAAAATTTGACATTGCTTTAGTAAATGTGACTAAGCAAATTTTTAATATCTACTGATCCATCAAACCATGTATTGCAATAAAGCAAATTTATAATGCGTTTACAGGAATTCTTTGCAACGTCTTCATTAGCCACATGGTGCAGAAAAGTAGAACGTAAAACTCCATTCATTTTATTCGTATTGTTGTCTAATTATAACGGCTGTTATTTTCTACTCTGTAATCTCTTTTTAGTTATCATTTTACAATTGCATCAAGTTCAAGCTTGTTTTAGAAACCCTTGTGTATTTTTTTTTTTATATAATGACTATGTTCTATTTAAACTATGTAAGCTCTTTTTAGTTATCATTTTGCAATATTTGAAAATTTAAGTTGTATTTCAGTGGAAAATCATTTTAAAATCTGTGTCAATGTGAAGTATATCCAGATGATTGCCTTGACTAGTTATCTGTTACAAGTCTGTCTGTAGTTCCACATGATTAACAAAGAACACTTCACCAACCATTCTGATGTTCTTTAATCAGGTTGTCTGTAGCACCATTGTAAAGACAATACAAATTGAATTGTAGTCTATATTTGATTATGTGTCTAATAGAAAGTTAATTGTTACTTGACTGTAGTTATAATTGGAAGTGCACTTACACTGATTTCATAATCAACAAAGAGCATGGACTGAATAAAAAGAAGACACTATAGTGTTCAGATATGCGGTAAAAGTGACTGGAGTTTTTTTTAATAGATTAATTTGCACTAGGTAACATTGTCGATAGGAACCTTGTTGACTATTGGAAGATACAGAAGATATTTTTGCTGAGAATGTAGACTGTATGCTCTACCACATATTGAGAATACTTATGAATCGTGCACAAGAAGTTTCGAAGAGTTAAAGTAAATAAACCCTGTGAGTTATGTGTTAGATTTGGCTTTGGTAAACATAACCTAAGTGTTTACACAGTTCAAAATTCATACGTTGTTAGTTAGCATTCTCAACTTAATACATACTATTTTATTTTGTTGACTTTAGATTTTTATATTCTCAACCCATTTTATCTGTATCAGAAAAATCCTAATTTTAATCTCTTATTGCCCACTTGAAACAGTAATACTGTATGAATTATTAAGCATCATCTAGCTGTGGTAATGAAATGGAATACTTAAAGCATGTCTGCCACTTGTAACACTGAAGAGGATGGAGGAAGTTAAATATAGAAACTTTTCCACTTATCAAAATGCCTTCAACACTCTATAGTTTATGATGAGTTAAGATTCTGTTTCTAGATTTAATTATATTGAAATGAGACATTGGTTTTGAGAATTAGGTTAACAGAAAATTAAGCTGTCTGAATAATTAGAGGGTAGAATAAAATGCTAAAATAACATTAACAGCTCTGTGGACTGGAAAGGGGTGTTGAGTTTTTAAAACTTAGTTCCGGAGTTGCAATTGGTATTCTGAAAGTGTGAGCAAGCTTTGTTAGCTTTACTAGAGACTATAGTAACTTAGACTCACTAGATGAAAGCTAACAGGTTGAAGAATGACCACTGGGTCAGCATCAGCTGTATCTGGTCAAGAACTACTTTTAAGTTCTAATTCATCATTTCAAAATAGCAACCTTGGAAAAAGCAGAAACAAAACTTCCCAAAGAACAACCAAGACATAGATATCAAGACAATTACCTTCTCATGTTTGCACAGTATCATGTGATGATAGGATGATGGATTTAAATTGCTCATCAATGGCAATCATACTTTAAATTATATGATAATGTATGATACTTGAAACATTATGACAGACCTAGGAATATTGGTACTTGTAGAATATTGGTTGGTGAATTATTGTACCAAGTGTTACTTGTATTGTCAAGATTAGATAACTCTGTTTATTTAGAGTCAAGTGGATCAAGTATGTTCTCTCGTAATATCCACCATGGGATTTCAATTGTGGATAACGATAATGAATTTGTTTACTTTGTGATTGAGTCTTTGTGATAGATAGCAGAATTTTCTTCATTTATTTGAAATAATTCTTATAATATGATTATTGATTCTACTGCTTCTAACAATTTGCATCTGCAATCAGTAGCCACATTAAATTTTACTTGGTTGTAGCAAGCCTGCTGCATTTGAATGAACTTTTTCTATGATTTCTTGTACATAACCATTCACAACTGGTTATTTTGCCCCATCATAAATGTGAATATGAGATCATAAAGGAAAGAAACAACCATGTTTTACGAGAATATTACATTTTAGTTTTTTGAGAAATCTCATTTTCCATCCTTTTGGCAATGATCTTTCCTGGATTATCCATATCCAGTTAGATATTACTTGATCAGTTTTCCCCTGTGGATTTTGTCTTATGGTCTGTGGTGTAGATAAATACATGTCTACTTATATCAGTTTTATAAGCTTTAAATCTGTTGATAAAACTTTAATTTCTGTAATTTCAGAGATCATCAGCATCTCCTGGTGACCGAGACAAGTATCGTCATCGAAGTCGTTCTCCTGAACCAAGTAATTCAACAAGCAACTCCAAAAAACGTCACCGTACAGATGAAAAAGCCACAGTAAGTAAAAATACACTATGCTTTGTTTTATAAATAATGATACAATTTCATACAACATGGCTCCTACAGCCAAAGTGATTGGTGATTTATACTTGAGGCATTGTAGATGGTTCAAGAGCTGAGGAAAGGTGTCCTTTTCAGAAGAAATATACTAAATTACACTCTCTATAACATGCTCAGGTCAGATTTAACTGTGATTTCATCATGAATAGGTCGTCTCAGTTGAATAGAAATCCTAATAGTCTAGTTAAGTTCAACAATCTGTAATAAATAGCTATGTGGACTATCTGAAAAGGATGCCGAGTCAACACAGTAAGAGAGTGGCTCCTAGTATTTGAGCATTTTAATGACACCTGTCACAGCACTTAAATCATAGTTCAGCTAAAAAAAATAAATGATTCTGAAGTAGCACAAGCAACGTGACTATGTAGTGCAACTCCAATACATATTCTGAACATTCTAGCTAGTTGATTTATATACAATGAATGTCAATTGTAATGTAAGGAAACACAACATATTTCTGACTACAGTATAACATAAAACATAAAAACACACTTGAAGTTATGTATTGAGTAATACCTTGTGACAAGACATCTTCTACTAAATTAAATTAACTCGCTTTGATTCTTACCAACTTTAACACGTGACACAAATTTTGTCTCTACTTGATTATTTTCTAGTCAACTTGAGAATTTTTTTATACATCAGGACGACATTTTTTTTCAATTTCCTTCATTTTTTTGTGGACAAGATCTTGCGTCATTCGATTGTATAAATAATATATCATTAAAATACAGACTGCTCATTATTGTCATGTGGCTTTCTTTATAATGACTTCTAAAACTTCATACGAACATTCATTTTCTTTTTTTTTATTTTATAGCAGAGTCTATTTTAGAATGTGGCAGATGAACACATTGTGAAAATGTCTGATATTTTTTCCTTCTCTCTTGATGATGAAACTTGTAAAAGATAAATATATTTTTTCTCTTTGATTTCAATTTTATTCCCATTGTCTGATACATTCATTCTCATACGTAAAACATTATAGTACTGTATTCTGCAAAATGCAACCAAAAGATTTCCATCTTTGTCTGTTTTTTTTACCAGTCACTCTTCAGTTCAGTTCAGATTGTTTTTTGTGCCCACTCACTTCCCTATTAGACAAATAAACAAACGATAGTCTTGGAGTATATGTGTCATTTACTTGTAACAAATGTAATAAATGACAAAAAATTGTATAATTAGTTAATAACAAAAACAACCCTAATAAAACAGATTAAGGATGATAACAATAACATAATGGAATTGTGTTAAGGCTCAACAAAAACATTAAACCCTGCCATACAAACAACAGAATACTGAGGATGGATTGGGGAGGCGGAGAGCATATGAATCTAATTGCTGTTTGATATCAGCGGACAATCCACTGAGTCGTCTTGCTGGGCAGTGACTGATAAAGTCAATGGTACTCAATCCCATACACATCGGTAGCCTTTGAGGCTTGAAAGGTAAACAAATCGCAAGTAGATGGCCAGCACAAAAACCACTTTACTATTTATTTACAGTAATGTTCATATTATTTCAGGAAAGTGATGCCGATGATCAGGATTTAGTGGTTGATGTAAGTTTCTTCTGATTTTCTCTTTTAACTATTTATTTTACAACATCATCATTTACCCTAATTGTATGCTGATATGAAAAGCAGGAGGAACAACTCCATTTCGTTTATTTTACAAAATTAGTCAGAATCACACAATCTGGACTTCAGAAACATCAAGCTAGACTATTTGTTAATGATGAATTCCTTTAATTGTTCTGATAAGCAGCTGACTGAGTAATATTTTACCTTCCCATAGCACTCTTTAGACTCACCTTAACTGATAGCTATAATAATGTATGGAAGTTAGGTGAATTGATCATGAAAACCTTTTATGTAGTATGTAAAAGAAAGATTTTGAAGAAGTTTTTAAACACCATTAACAAAATCTGGCTACAACATATATTTATTTAATGGCATAATAATAATATTTGCAGGATGCTGGTACATCTTCGCCTGTCAACGGTGACATTTCACCCAGAGAGAGAGAAAAATCATCTAAAGAAACAAATCATAAAAAAGAGGAGAGAAATACAGGAAGTCCCCGCAGTGATGCCTCATCTCACGCTAGCTCATCTTCATCAAAACATAAAGAGGTATTTTAGTATTTATTTTCACATTTACACAAGGATGTGCACATGTTCAATCAATAAAGCATATTTATCATTTTTGTTTGAGAGTGTAGTTAGTGCTAGAGTTTCTAGTCATATATCAGTAAATGCAATGCATTATGTCTGGTAATATAAATTTCGAAATTTGAGATATTATTCATTTATCCATTACATTTCGCATTTGTACTAGTTAATTAGTTCTATCAACATGTACAATGTTTATGTTTAGTCAATATTCTTTAGTAAAGTATATTATTTGAATTTTTGCTCGTATACATTTATTTATGACACTACATGGAATTTTATTATGATATATATAACAAATCTTAAATTCTTGTGTTTAATTACTCTTTGGCGTATTTTCAATGAATACTTAAATGAATAATTGTTCGACTTGCATCATTCAGAGTATAAAAACTCAAAACTGTTTTCAAAGAAAGTTCAAAGGATTAAATGTTTTAATTAGTAAAAGTTATATATTTAATTAAATTATATTTGTAACTTGATCATCTGTTTTTATTTTGATAATATCACACTAACATCTTATTTTTATCAAGAGTTATGTTAATTTACTGATATAAGTATATCAGCACGCTATGAGAAATGGAATTTAAAAATAAATTATTTTTTTCAGAACGAAAAATCAGCAACCCCTGTTTCTAAATCTGTGACTCCCACAAGCTCTGGTAATACTACGCCTGGACCATCTGCCAACTCCAAACCGGGTATGTTTAAAATAGATCTCAACTACAAGTTATTATCTTGTATATTTTACAGTAAATTTATACCAGGTGGCTAAATGTTCCACTATCAAAATAATAAACATTTTCTTGTATCCTTATTTCTCGAAATAAAAATTTAGATTTTTCTCTCTAAATAACATATTCTTTTACTTCATGTAAACCGATCATATTCTTGGCAAAAGAGAATTCATGAATGAAACTTTTCAAGAACTAATATGTTCTTTTAAGGTTTGGTTTGCATGACTATCCATGTTAAAATTAGAAATCATGGACTTACACATCATCTTAAGAATCTTTGATTATACCAGTTTTATTTGACTCTTTGAAATGTTTTTTTTTTTTTTTAAATCCAACAAATGTTATACTTCTGTTCTATTAGCTTGACATAACAGAAAGCCATATTCCTGCACTTTGGTCTATGAACCAATGAACATTTGTTTCTGCCACCATACTTCTCTGATTTCTCAATCCAGCCAACTTACTAAGGTAGCAAGCCCAACGATATATAAATATTCATACATTATTCTAAGAAAAATTGGATAATCTGTCATATTGTTAATTTGCCTATGTCTTCATTCCTCATTTGTTTGGTTATTTACAGGAGCTTTTCCTTTTTTACCTAATGCTAGTCATGCTGGATTACCAACAGATTTAAGTGCTAGTGGAGCAGCGTTTGCTAATCATGTTTTACACAATAATATATCACCAGGACCATTGAATAATTTTCCACGACCATTAGTAAGTTCAGTTTCTTTTCTTACATTTGTCGTATCAACATGCTGTGGAATTTAATAAGATATGGTTCATACTATTCCTAAACATCAGCCTCTACTCCAGCCTCTGATGGATATTTTGACAGTTGTCAGCTGGAAAAAGACCTTGTTAAATGGGAATTTTCCACACCTCCAAAGATGCATTTTTCTCGAACATAGCCTTGAATTTAGATGATTGTAAATTATTGTTGGGCATCACTATAACCTTTGAACTTTGACGCTAGGTCAGTTTCACCAAAAAAAAACTTTGATGGAACAGGAGACATGACATAAATGGTGTAGGGAGTAAATGTTGGTATGACTGAACTACAAAATATTCACCTTTCCAAATATGCAGATCCGAGGTGTCTATTTAGGTTTAAAACCTCTGCACTCAGGGAGATGCATAATGTTCCCTTTAAACAGTGCCTATTTTTTTCTGTCTCTACACCAGTTGACGAAATAGCTATCAGAGGCTGGAATAGAGACTGATGTTTCGGTCTAGGTTCATACCAGAAAGCACTACCCCTGTATGTTCCTAAGAGATTGCTTTGGGTTTTCTTCTGATATACTTCTGAAAATCTACAAAGGCATCATACAGGTTAACATTGTAGTATTTATAATTTAATGTGATATCTGCTTCAGGTTGGATTTGAACCTCATACAAGTATTAGACCATCTCTTGGTAACATCCCTGGTGGAAAGCCGTAAGTATTCAAATAGATCAATTCAACTGTCTTGTCCTTTGATTCTGGTACCACATCCCTAATCTTCAATGTACAATCTTGTCTCAATATACCACTGTATGCTGAGATCTTCCTTTGATGAGGCAGATAAGATCAATTTCAATATGTTCTTGGTCTTCAAAATAGTAATTGTCCTGTTTTTTCATCTTCATAAATGACTTCATAATACATAATACTATTGATGTATTCTTTCCTCGAGGTAGCAGATACCAAAGAGGGAACTTGTGTTCATCTTAATTCTGTTTTATTTCAGAGCATATTCTTTTCATGTGAGTGGTGATGGTCAGATGCAACCAGTTCCTTTTCCACCAGATGCTTTGATTGGTCCAGGAATTCCAAGACATGCTCGTCAAATTAATACTTTAAATCATGGGGAGGTTGTTTGTGCAGTGACAGTTAGTAACCCAACAAGACATGTATATACTGGAGGAAAAGGTTGTGTTAAAGTTTGGGATATTAGTCAACCAGGAAATAAAAGTCCTGTTTCTCAACTTGATTGTTTAGTAAGTGTCTTCACATGATACTTTATGCCCATCTTGTTTGGTTGGTCAGTAAGGACAGTAAGCTGTTGCTGTAGCTTGATAAGCACTTGCTTTATAATGGTCATGGCTTGACACTCAAGCATCAGATAATCTTAAAAAGAAGACATTGCCAAACAGATGGAGTATGAATCATTATAGGGTGTCCAGTTGAGTATATTTAGCAGGATTTTAGATGTCAGAAATATTAACAGGAAATGTGTGGATGACAATGCTGACTTTTTCTTTTCGTGGCTTTATCTCAGAGCTTGTTTTTTAAACTCAACCACAGAAGTGCCATTGCACTTGTTTTACATTCCATCACAGTAACATATATTTTATGCAGTCTATTTGCATTTTTACTATTACTCATCAAAATGAGAGAAACACAACCAATATTTTATGACAGTTTTATGATATAATTTCCATCTGTGTTTCAGCAAAAAGATAATTATATCAGATCAATAAAATTATTACAAGATGGTCGAACATTAATCGTTGGTGGAGAAGCCAGTACATTATCAATATGGGATTTAGCAGCTGTAAGTGTCTAACATTCTTATTTGAAAAGTAACTTTATTATAGACTTAGTATTCAAATTCAAAAACTTTAATTACTTGCTAACTGAACTAGATGGTATTGAACAAATAAGATGCACGATCATATTTTGTCATAGATCATATCCTTGAGGAAATAAACAAGAGTACTGGTGGGCAACAAAGTGTATAAAAGTAATTGGCCATAAACGTTGTTGTAGTTCAGCACCCTCATATTTTTACACCACTCTGAGTCGATTTATGATAATTCTTTTAATTCTTGACATTCTTTAATTGCAGTCAACCCCCAGAATAAAAGCAGAATTAACATCGAGTGCTCCAGCTTGTTATGCTCTAGCTTTAAGTCCTGATAATAAAGTGTGTTTTAGTTGTTGTAGTGATGGTAATATAGCTGTATGGGATTTACACAATCAAACTTTAGTCAGGTATATATAAGATATCAATTCAACCTCTTGAATTAAAGTCCCAGAGTTCATTCCATGCTCACTTTATATTAGTCTGCAAATAATAATAAATTTCATATACAGGTACCTCAATCCCATTCTGTATTCAGTGTTTTTTTATGATATTGTCAATCTCGCACCATTTAATTCATCATTACCAATATTTTTCAGACAATTTCAAGGGCATACAGATGGAGCTAGTTGTATTGATATATCACCTGATGGTAGTAAATTATGGACTGGAGGTTTAGATAATACAGTCAGATCCTGGGATTTAAGAGAGGTCAGTTGCCTTATCTTTTATTGAAAGCTTTGAATGTTTTATTCATATAAAGATATTGGCCCAAGGAAACATAATAGGATACAAATTCCCATTTCTTTTTAATCCATAGCCAGATCAGCATCTATGAAGCCTACAAAGGCTCTGTACTCTGTAGACTGATTTCAAAAACTCATTATCCATTTTTTTACATGCCTGTCCTTTCTATTCAGCAGACAGCCAATAGTACAAACCCTCATTCTTTACTATTGTGAGAAAAAATAGGTCATGTGAACTTGATTTTCATTTCATTATAGGGGAGGCAACTCCAGCAACATGATTTTACTTCTCAGATATTTTCACTAGGATATTGTCCTACTGGTGACTGGCTAGCTGTAGGGTAAGTTGTGCTACTTTTATCAAAACATAATTTTGTATTATATCAATTGACTTGAGCTTATCATATGCTGTAAATAAGGGTACAGTTTACGAACATGTTAAGTTTTCTGTTTTGTTGAAGGATGCATAAACAAAGTAAGCAATTGTCTGAAACCCGAGATCTGAAGAGATTTGTAACTTTTCAGTTGTGTTATATATGTGTTTTTGTTACTTTTCAGTATGGAGAGCAGTAATGTGGAAGTTTTACATCACGCTAAACCTGACAAATATCAACTCCATTTACATGAAAGTTGTGTTCTTTCTCTTAAATTTGCATATTGTGGTAAATGGTTTGTGAGTACAGGAAAAGATAATTTACTCAATGCCTGGAGAACTCCATATGGTGCCAGCATCTTTCAGGTAAGTTGGAATTATAGTATGGGCTTTAAAATCTCAAAATTACCTAAATCTACAGTCTCAAATTTGTGCTTGTTCTTAATCAATGGACAGTAAAAGAAAGTAGACTCACCTTGTTAAAATTTTCCTTTCTGCATACTCTTACTTGATGATTTTTCCCATCTTCTTTATTTATTCTTAATATTTTCTATAATAAAACAATATTTATTATTAACATTGTATAATTTGTATTTTTAGTCTAAAGAATCATCGTCAGTGTTAAGTTGTGATATATCAGGAGATGATAAATATATTGTTACTGGATCAGGAGATAAAAAAGCTACATTATATGAAGTTATATTCTAAACTGACTTGAATTCTACGAATATTTGGTGTTCATTGTGAGTTGTGTTCACACTCCCAGAGTTTCTTTACACTTTGTTTTCTTCAGTATTGTTTTGTGGATTATAATAACGAATGTTTGGAACAGGACTGTTTTATATCCAAAACCTAAATCATCTGTTTTTAAGTAATGAAAATCTGGAGATGGAATAATCATGCTATTGCTCAGACTTTTTGAGATTTTCGAAACATTTAAAGATCACTTTTCATTCTATCCTGTGGTTTATGAATCTTATGTTTTAGATGACTTTAGTTTAGTCCTGATTTAAACTGTGTTCTTTTGGATCCGTTCATAATCACCAACTTGTGTACCTCAATTTTAATATATGTGGGACTTGTCCTTTCAACATAACATGCACTGGTATATAAATTTTGAGAACTGTTCTCATAACGAATCAGTCGGATGGAAAATTCACATAGGAAAGATTCTCAGAATGATCTTATGTTGAAGAAGTTTGTGTGTCTTCATAGTTTTGAGCATGGTGCAAGTCAATTCTTTTTCAATACCATTTTTAACAAGTGACACGACACATCAGTTAGAATATTTATGTATGGTATCGATTAATGAATCAAGGATTTATTCTGTTATAGTGCTATTCTTTATTTATTATGTCTGTGTTGTCAATTTTCAGTTAGGGACTTGGTTAAAATCTTACATTTTGATTGTTTTAAGATATATTTAACAGATTTGCTATCACACGTGGGATTTTTATTCAACACAAGGATCCTTGTTCTAATACTCCTCATAATGGGTCATGAGGTATTAAAGAATGTCGTTAAATTTATAAATTGGTTCTAGACTAATTTACCTTTAGTCTCATATATGAGATCAGGCTATCATTTACTGTGTTATGGTAGACTATGAAGTCTATGGCTATCATTTTGACATTCCAATAAGAAAGAACAATAACTAATATAGAGATATAAATTGTATATTGTGTATTTTAAAGAAGAGAGAATTGTATTATTTGTTATTGTATATTTGTGTGAATAGTAAATTATAATAGTTCAGTGGTTTCTACATGCATTATTGTGTTAATTATATAGATATCATAATAACATATCCTTTTTATTATTTCTAACATAAATTCTATTGAATTCAATTCAAGATTTCAGACAAGACTTGGGAAAAATTTTTATGACACAAATGTATAAATTTTTCCTTAATTGTTTGCTATTATAACAATATATGCCCATCTTACGTGTGGGCGTATAAAAATCATATATATGTCTTACCCAATTTCATGAACAATTCATCTCTATCACTAAAATCAGATCTGAATACTATAATGGGTTACATTTGTGTGAAATTTTTCCCTCCTCAAGACTATTGTCATAAACTTTAAGTACTGATAATCATATTAAAATAAGCTTATCAAAAATTAATAATAATTTTGATTGATGTTCTTTCAGTGTCAAATATTAGGAATCAACCATTCCTTTTTCCTTTCTGCAAAATATCTGAAATTGGCATTATGGCATGAAATGAATTTAAAATTTTCTTTATGAGACAATAAATACATCAACAATTATCATTTAATTGTCTTACATATTTTTTTTACATTGAAATTGTCTAAGCTTATATGAGATATTTCTCATACCAATCCTGAAAAGTCACTCATTAAAATCTAAGAAGATATTTCTTTAACTGAAATTTGTGTTATGAGATATCACTTTGTTTAATTGGTGATATACCAGATACTTTCCATTGAATTTGTCTATAGATATGAGATATTTCTCACAGAAATTGTCTATATCATCCATTCATTCTGTGAAATTTGTCTAATGAGTTAGGAGTAGGAGTTAATTCTTCACTGAAATTTGTTTTCAAGAGATTTTTCATTACTGAAATTTGTCTTAATAATATAATTGTTAGTCATGTTGTTTTCTACCTCGGTTTGTACATCTTTGATCACTCTATATATACTGTATTTCACAAATTCTGTACTAAGTTCTGAGTTTTTTTGTAACTTGGTGCTTTATATTGTTCTTGGTAAAATAAATGTGCTAAGAAATTATGTCTTTTGAATTGCTGACTTTGCTACTTTTACAGATTGGGAGGGCTCTGTATTGTGTGACATACAATTTGATAGCCTGATGATTAAAAGTGCTATCAACAAGGCCAGATATCCACCTTAATAGTTGGCTTATGCTGTCCTGTCGGTGCTTAAGTCTGGCTATGCAGTGGCTCAGTTAATCATTTGGTGTAGGGGACACAGAATGGCAAAAGGACAATTACAATGATACGAAAGTGGAGTGCTAAAGACATAAAGCTATGTTCATTGATTCATTCCAGACCGATCGGCCTATTTGCAACATCCAAAGAGTCATAGGCCTAATGCAAATGGGCTATGATTACTCAAATTTGATCTGAATCTTCCTGGTGGGTTTGTATGAATACTTCATGATGCCTATTATTTCCATCAAATACATTACTTACTTCCGTTTGAATATGATCTACTGCCGCTGGTTCGATTTCTGTCTTCAAGGAGAGGGTATGCGTCAGCAGATTCAATTGTAAACATAACTCAAAAAATTGATCGTTTGGATAAAATAAAAAAATTGCGGGAAAGTCAAGAAGGGAGAAGTCATTGCAATAGTAAGGGAGTAGCTTATTGTTACGTTCTGAATCTGAATGTGTACGTCGCAGGTCCTGTTACAGCATATACGCGACGGGAAGAGAGTGCTTAAAACTTAATTGATGAACTTTGTTGGTAAGAGCACTATGCTGTCTTCCAGCTGGTTCCACTCGATAATTGTATCGGAGAAAAAAGATAGCTTATAATGTTCACTTTTACATTGTAGTCTTAAAACATCTAGTATTCTTTGTCACTTGATTGTCTATGATATTATTCTCAAGAAAGTCAGGGTTATGTGTTGCTTTTATGCGCCGTTTAGATTCAATTTGAGTTAAATAGTCATGACAATTGAAAGCTGGCATCAGCCCCTCAACCACCCTGTAAAAGAAAGTGGGACGGATCACCTTCCGTCTGTCTTGTAGGGATGTAGTTTTTGTGACACAGCCTCCTCCTGATTTGTAGTCTCCATAGGAAAACCTTGCAGCTTGGCGTTGGACTCTCTCAAGTCTGTTGAGTTGGGGTCTCAGACTACTGAGCTGTACTCTAAAGTAGGGCAGACTAAAGCTAGTCAGGCAGATCTTCTGCAAGATTGGGGGCAGTATTTGAGATTGCGCTCGAGGAACCAAACTTAAGAGTTAGCCTTCTTGACGAACTCTGTGCATCCCAATTCAGGTCTTCAGAGAGTGTGACTTTCTGTTGATGCTCATGATGTAGCATTTCTTTGCATTGAATCTCATTCCCCATGATTGTGTTGACCCATAATTCAAGAGCTTTGAGGTCCTCTTGGCGGGTTTGATGATTTTGACGAAATTTGATGGCGCGATAGAGTAGGCAGTCATCTGCAAAGAGTCTAACCTGGGATTGACAGTATCTGGAAGGTCATTTATGTGGCTTAAAATGAGTAGCGGTCCGTTATTCATTCAGATGCAAATGATACATTACACAGAAAGGGTATGTTATTAGGCTTAACATATGTGGACAAATATCTGAATGAAACAATAATTTCAAGAGATTAAAAAGGATATTGTGCCTGTTATGGTATTTTAATGAAGCCAATTTTATCTACAAGGTTGTTTAGATTCATAATAGTCTCCAATTTCTTATCATATTTCCATAGAATGATAATAAATTATGCCAGTGAAGTGAAGAATGCTATTTGATAACGATATTTGTTTAAAATCTGAAAGTTTAATTAGAAATCGGGCTAGTTTTATTTCATGTATCCCACCCCGCACTCTGTTTATTTAATCAATTCACCAGCATTAAATCTCTCTTACAAACTATTTCTATCTTCTTGCCTTTCTCTATTTATCTAGTCATTATTTGATAATTCAAGTCGTCCAATATCAAATATACATTTATTAAGAAAATATTGAGATAGTTTGTGGGTGCTTGTATTTATCAAAGTTCACCAAGTACTAGCTGGGTGTACATATTAAACTTTAGCAACAATTTAACGTGTTGCAGTTTACACCAAAAGTTCAACTACAAAGACTAAATTACATTGAGTAAACAAGCTGGGATTTACTTGAGAAAGGTCAAAAGGTTTGACAGCGAATCGGATCCATTAGAGTCGAGCTGTCGAGTTAAAAATACACACTTGAATAACAACAAATAGCGTAGGTCAACATCAAAGTGCTGGAAAGACGAGAATTGTAATGAAGACTGGAATTTGAATCTACCTGTATTGACTTAATATATCTATACGTACATTGGTACGCTTAGTACTCATCCACCCCCGTCTACCCTTTTAGACTGATTGAAATAGTCAACAAATATAGCAAAAGGACTTCAACCATGTGACAATACCAACATTGGTTTAAACGACTGCAAGTAAAACGACTGTTTGGACTAAATAAATACCAGGGGTGGTTTGTTAGACAAATATTTGAGCAAAGTTAAGTGGCAATCGCCAAGTTTGGAGAAGAAAGACCTCCCCTATTGGACACAATAAGGAGAGATTTCCACTAAATGTACCATCACTTGAATAATGTCAATATCCCGATGTTTGTTTAAGTTGTAATATCAGTGAATACCATACCTGATAAAGAATTGAATTTGATAAAATATTAAAGTTGAGCTTAGTAGTGCAGATTACAGTATCAATTATCAGATAGAAATATTTAAACTTTGGAATTTAAACCTTGTTAGAGTTAGATTCATGTTACGGTTACACCACTTCAAGAACTCCACAAAACTTGAGAATTTAGCTATCTGACATTGTTAACTTTGGCTTATACACAGAGAAATGAATAACATCAAATTGCTATCAAAAAAGTGATTTTCAGACAAATTCAGCTTAACACTCCTTTGAAAGCATCCATCCAGATCCAGCTACTGTACTGTGGGAAAATGTTATAACATCGCATTGCTGCAAGATGATTT